ACACTGGCGTGTCCTCTAAAACTGAAGGCTTGGGGCAATCGCAACGGTTCCTAGGCAGTGACTGGAGGGCTTACAAAATAAGGCAGAGCTTGGCGAAGAGCGCAATGATTTGAGAGGCCATAGTACAACGACTGCATTCACAGAAAACAAATCAAATTTCCTCGTCTTAAAAATGTCCTTATTTGACTGGTTAGGCCTCGGAATGTATCAGTACCATTTTTGCAGACCAAGTATGAGTAAATGTTTGTTATTGCTGATACAGATTATGATACCATACTGAGTAACCTTCTTAAAATTGAGCAGTTGTTAGTGTATCTTAACTGTTACATCATTGAAATCTAATTGATTTTGAATGAAGTGCTGTAGTACATTAGTTACCTGGAATCTTGTCGTGCTGCAGTGGAGAAGAGTGGCTTTTGTTCCGTGTCGGAAAAGCACTTCTGTATAGCTTTTGATCCCCACTCCTCATCTTTCAGTCTCTGCAGCACAGTGATAGCAGGAATCACATCCAAGGCTGATCCAAGGAGCTCATGCTTTGTTTTAATGAGGTCTTTTTGGCTGGTTGATCTGTAGCTGAATGTCCTCTAAAGCCAGACATACATTGTGTGATTTTAGAAATCTATCAGTCATAACATTCTGACCACCTCCTTGTTTCTGCGCTCATTGTCCATTTTATCAGCTCCGCTTACTATATAGGTGCACTTTGTAGTCCTACAGTTTCAGACTGTAGTCCATCTGTTTCTCTGATACTTTGTTAGCCCCCTTTTACCCTGTTCTTCAGTGGTCAGGACCCCCATGGACCCTCACAGAGCAGGTACTATTTGGGTGGTGGATCATTCTCAGCACTGCAGTAACACTGACGTGGTGGTGGTGTGTTAGTGTGTGTTGTGCTGGTCTGAGTGGATCAGACACAGCAGTGCTGCTGGAGTTTTTAAACACCTCAGTGTCACTGCTGGACTGAGAATAGTCCACCAACCAAAAATATCCAGGCAACAGCGTCCTGTGACCACTGATGCCTAGAGGATGACCAACACAAACTGTGCAGCAGCAGATGAGCTATCGTCTCTGACTTTACATCTACAAGGTGGACTGACAAGGTAGGAATGTCTAATAGAGTGGACAGTGAGTGGACACAGTGTTTAAAAACTCCAGAAGCACTGCTGTGTCTGATCCACCCAGACCAGCACAACACACACTAACACATAACACCACATCAGTGTCACTGCAGTGCTGAGAATGATCCACCACCCAAATAGTACCTGCTCTGTGAGGGTCCATGGGGGTCCTGACCACTGAAGAACAGGGTAAAAGGGGGCTAACAAAGTATCAGAGAAACAGATGGACTACAGTCTGTAACTGTAGGACTACAAAGTGCACCTATATAGTAAGTGGAGCTGATAAAATGGACAATGAGCGTAGAAACAAGGAGGTGGTCAGAATGTTATGCCTCATCGGTGTATATATTCACACTATTCGAAAACAGTGTGTCTATTCTACATCAAAACACAGCCCCTACAGATCTGTCTACAAACAATTATAAATAAAGCTGTTTCATTCAAAATAACTACCCACCCGAGTACTGAGCAAACACACTGAGTTACAGCAGCTTTGCTAATACTGTGCATTGAAACCTAACCAGGTTGTGATGCACACAATATGGCTAAATGGTCTCTACAGCCTACATTATAAAGACAGCTTTAAAAATGGACATGTAAGCATTTATACCTCACAATTCTATTCGGTAAAACAGAATAGAGTCAGCATAGACAGACTTTAGTTCCACAAATGTCTAGGCTAAAATCACACACTGTGGATTGTTTTAAGTGACCAGCGACTTTGTGTCCAACTGCCACAGAGTCAGAAACGCATCCCTGTGTGATCAGACCCTCATTCACTGCCAGCTTGAGTCGTTTGCTCATTAGCCCAACAGCGAACACTAAGTTTACATCACACTGTATCAGCTGGTATCGGATGTTGGTATCAGTGCATCTGTATTTGGCTGAGGATGAGTAAATGAGCCCGGTATCGGCTGATACCTTGTTCCAGCATTAGTACTGATGCATCCCTAGCTAAGCCTGTGAAGAACTCTGCCTACCTCTGGCTACGCCCTTGGAGCTAATGCTTTTTGTTGATAGAGCACTTTAAATTATCGGACGATAAGGAAAAATGCTCTGTGCGAAATGTGCGATAAGAGGTTTGTATACCATGGAGGTGTGACAAGTCTGAGGAATCTTCTCAAATGTGTTATTATACTTAGTGCTGCTTGGTAGGTTCGTCTCACAGCACAGCTGATCTCACTGGCGTGTATTATTACTACATTTTACTGCCTGCTAGACCAGTTTAAACTGCAATGTTCAAATTTAAAGAACATATTTAGAAGTATTGTTAATCATGAGTAAGAAGTATTGTTTTTAAGACTGATTTTGAGAGTTTTTGATACTTGTTTATGTTTCAAAACGAGTATTTAAAGCCTGTAAAATGCTCTTTGGGCCAATCCTAAATTTACATGAAGCATGTTGTGAAAGTGAGCCAATAAAAGAGAAGCAATCAGCAGAGCCAGTGGTTGTTTCCTGGGTGGTGTTTGTGGGAAAGCAGTAGAGTGTAAATAACATAACAGAAAAGAGTGAACAGTATAATTAATTTCTATTTAAAGAGATAGAATGCAGTATGATTATGTTCCTTTGCGCAGTGGATGCTTGGGTTGTATTACTCATTACTCAAAACACAAGAACAGTGCAGTATGTCCTAAAACATTAAATGACAGCTCAGCATTTGTTCGTATCAGCATGCTTGTAAATAGAAATATACATTTGTTGCACTCCAACGTAAAACTCTGGTTTAGTTTAGTTTATTTTGCACAATTTAAAATACACACAAAAAACAAGGATAACAATATACAGTACAGGGAGAAGCAATATATCGCTGCTGTCGGAACAAAACCTCGTATCTCCATTTTTGACGTTTTTCGGTTTTTGGCATAATTTGAAAATGCCTGTTGACCTTTACGTTGTGTTTCATGTTTAATGGACCAAAAGAAACGGCCCAGAATTACTTGGAAAAAAGTCTGGTTCCATTGACTTACATTATAAGTAAAGTGTGTTTTTTCCTTCTCCTATAAAGTTACCATTTTGTTATATATATTTTATATATATATATATATATATATATATATATATATATATATATATATATATATATATATATATATATGTATGTATATATATATAAAGTCTCCACCTAAATAATATTACAATTTTACGAGATTATGGAAAACACAAAATAACAAAACATAATAATGACATAGAACAGACACCAAACATCCTAAATATCAGCATAATGCATAAAGCAAAAACATGTGAATGTGTAATGTGGGTGTTTGTGCGTATATATATATATATATATATATATACATATATATATATATATATATATATATATATATATATATATATATATATATACATATATATGGAAGCTACATAGGTTGGTGATGTAGGTTTATACTCTCATACTCCTGAGCAATACGAATGATGTAGGTCACAATAAGTGAAACAAAAATAACATTGATATATAGACAACAATGTATAGAGAAAACAGCTATGATACAGATGTTAAATGGCCTTTTAAACCACTTTTGTAATATTTTAAAGAAGAACAGTTTTTGCCAAATGAAAATGCCTTTATTATTCAGTCATATTGAAAGTTGACCTCTGCAACTGAGAAATTTAAGATGTAGTTCTGAAGATTGACGAGCTGAATATGGACGGACCTGTGAAATAATTCTTAAACTGCTCTGGAATATTTCCTTCACTTGACAGTGTCTTATAAATAGAAACACATGCATCAAAAATATTAATATCATAAATATTAAGAATCTGAAGTTTCTGAAATAAAGGAGGATGACATTGAAATCTGATCAAAAGCATTCTGACCAATTTCTGTTTGGAGAGTAGTAGAAAAAGTGTTCACCCAAACTTTATTACAATATGAAAGATATGTGTAAATTAGACTGTAATAAAGAGTGAGGAGTAAATCTGTATTAACTACATGACCAACTCTCCTTATTATAGCAATAGATTTATTGATCTTTCTGCTAACTCAGTCTGTTTGTTCTCTCCAACTCAAACATCTCATCTCATCAACAATAATTCCCCCAAAAAATTGTAGTTGACACTTGAGGCATCTCAACAGACTCAATTTTAATTTTAGATAAGTCCCTAGAATACAATACTTTACCCTTAAAAATGCTAAAATTAGACTTTTTTATATTTAAAGAAAGTTTATTTTAACCATGTAGCATGCAACTCTGCTGTTGCCATCAATGAAACAGGCCAAGCAGCCGAGGAACAGGCCACACGTTACTGTTTCACATTTACATTTACAAATTATGAAGTTCACAATACAAAAAACTTAAACACTGTTCATTTATTCTATTTACTATAATGATTTCCATGTTTATTATTGACTGTAACTGTAATTACCATTACTTTATATTTGTATTGGTCATATTTTTAATGATCTGATGTGACACTAAACCATTTTCAGATTGTTAAACTATTACATTCAAATTCAAACTCACAAGCACTTCAATAAAAGTCTGATTGCACATTGATGGCAAAGATAAAATGAGTTAATACAGTTTATTTATTCTATTTAATATAATGGTTTCCATGTTTATTATTAATTATAAGTGTAATTACCATTATTTTGGAGTATTTTTAATGATCTGATGTGACACTAAACCATTTTCAGATTGTTAAACTATTAAATTCAAATTCAAACTCACAAGCACTTCAATGAAATGCGTGTCTGATTGATGGTAAAGATAAAATGAATGAAACTGTGTGTGCCTCTAAAATCATATCGCACAAGAACCATCAATAATTATCTGATTTTTGCTCCACCCTGATTACAGGAAATAATGGGGTGAAAGTCCATAATCAGCTGAGGTCAGTGAGGGCATTAAAACAGTATTTATACGGAGGGACTGCCTGGCCAACTACCACTCGAACACCACAGCAAACAGGGACCTGACGAGGCTTAGAAGTGGCAAAATGGTTGAGAAACTCCTGCGGTTCAATGCGGTTCTCCGCTTTGTGGTTTTTTTAGCTTTTCTCTCCTTTTGCAACGGTGCTGCGCTTTCCAGTGACGCGGACATCCCTGCCAACGCCCAGTACTTCAACACCAAAACCCGTTACCAAGACGTCGACACGTACTTGCGGGAAAATATTCTGGCCATAAACAGCTCCGCGGTGAAGCCTCCTGCTCCAACCTGCACCCCCGTCCACTTCACGATCGTTGCCAGACACGGCACCAGATTCCCAACCGCTGAGAACATCAAATTGATTGGCGCCTTTGACGACCTCGTCAAGACTGAGGCGAATGGCGACTTGAGTTATCTGCCAGAACTCAAGGCATGGAAGATGTGGTACAAGGAGGACATGGCTGGGCGCCTCACAGAGACAGGAAGGGAAGACCACATTCATCTGGCCCAGAGGATGGTCGAGACGTTCCCCACTCTCCTGACCAAGGAGAACCTTCTGGGCGGCCGGGTCAAGTTCATCACGAGTTCTGTACCTCGATGCATCAACAGCACCCTCTCTTTCCAACTAGGCCTGAAGGAGTGGTTTCATCTTGAAGGTAATGTATTCAGGAATAGCTGGTGTGGTTACAATAGCAATAGCCTTTTGGCACCACGGCATCGGCTAAGATAGAACATCAATACATGATAATACCTCAACGTAGTTAAAGTCATTTGGAACAGCTGCAGAGTATATTATTTGTTATACAACAGTTAGTTCCGGCCATGCAAGCCGATTGGTTGAGAGGCGTTCTAACTGCGCTGTTATTTCACTATAACATCACGGGTTTGTCACTCTGATGAGACGCCATTGCTAAGCAACCACTTTGACAGCTGTAGGAGACGCTCAAGACATTTGAACGTTTTTACTTCTTACTTTGCCACAAACAGAAAATGGACACTTTTAAGATCACATTTGACCGACAGCCGATTTGGTCAGACTCTGAAGATGAGACGACACTAAATTCCCAAACTGTCATCACCACTGAGCAGCTTTTCAGTCGGCAGCTGTGACAGAAGAACAGCTAAACAACCTGGAATCAGCCAGAAATGAACCCAACACCATTCGCCAAACTAAACAGGCTGTAAGATGCTTTACAGACTGGCTGGAACAAAACAACATTAATACTGATCTGGCAAAAAATGACAAAACTGTGCTGAACTTGATATTGTGTCAGTTTTATGGCTCAGTCTGATTTGGTCAGACTCTGAAGATCAGACTCCACGTTTGGCGAATGGTGTTGGGTTCATCTCTGGCCGATTCCAGGTTGTTTAGCTGTTCTTCTGTCACAGCTGCGCTCTGAAAAGCTGCTCAGTGGTGATGACAGTTTGGGAATTTAGTGTGAGGAGCTGGAGAACGAACTGCCGGCTGTGCAGCGAGTGGGCGGAGCTTGTTACTCTGACGTAGCAACAAGCTGCTCGTTAAGGAACTATAATTTGGTGAAGGAACTGCGAACATTAAAACATATTAAACGCCGCGTTCACGGCCCAGTTTATTAATTTATTACTTTATTTATTTAACTGTTGTATAAAAGCAATAGAACACTCGAGGAGTGTGTTATCGCCAATAACATCACGGCTGTGATGATCTACGGCGACCAAATCACAGCCGTGATGTTATTTTGTGATAACACACTCCCTCTCGGGTTCTACTGGTTAAGCTAATTGGTATTGGCATCATCCAACAAATGTAATTAACCATGTTACGTTAATAGTTCACCAAATTTGGTATTCACTTAATACTCACAAGGGAATACTGATGTTACGAGATGATAACAGAATGCAAGTGTTTACATGTGTGAACTCTTTGATGTTTCCAAGGTGATGAATTCCCGTACACAGTGAACGACACTCTGATGCGCTTTTTTGCCTCGTGTGAACGATTCGTGGAGACGGTGTTGGACAACCCAGAATCTGTGATACAGGCCACCCTCTTCAAAAACGGCCCGGAGATGAAGACAGTTCAGAGGAAAGTGGCCGACCTGCTACAGATCCCTTACGACAAGTTCACCGCAGGTCAGTTATTCTCATTTTCCCTTCATATAAATTTGTATATTGTCTAAATAATGTGCAGTTTTGTGATTAATATGGTTCCACAGTTTTTAGGATTTCAATATTGGCAAAAATCCTGCTGACAAAGCACCACCATTTATATAGATTGTTTTAATGAACGGATACCTCCATTGTGGTCATTTCTGATGTTTTAAGCTGGGCTTTAAGTACTAAGCTTTACCTGCTGGTAAAATGGACACAAAGCAGTTCATGCTTAAAGAACTTAAACATGTAAAATGCATCCAAAAATCTAAACTTTAGCTTGAGAATTCACAAAAAACCCTGAAGCCATGAAGAGAACTGTTGGCTTTTGTTAATTAGCTTGGAGAAATGAGTAATATTTGATAATTCAGTTGACATCTTACTGTCAAATCAGTCAGCTGAAGAGAGAAGTTTGAATCATTCCATGGTCCTCCAGCTAAAGGACTTTTAGCTTTGCTTCCACTGAGATGATTCACCAGCAAAGCCGGTGTGCTCAGGATTTTTTAAACGCTGTGTCCACTCACTGTCCACTCTATTAGACACCCCTACCTTGTTGGTCCACCTTGTAGATGTAAAGTCAGAGACGATAGCTCATCTGCTGCTGCACAGTTTGTGTTGGTCATCCTCTAGTCCTTCATCAGTGGTCACAGGACGCTGCCCACAGGACGCTGTTGGCTGGATATTTTTGGTTCGTCGACTATTCTCAGTCCAGCAGTGACACTGAGGTGTTTAAAAACTCCAGCAGCACTGTTGTGTCTGATCCACTCAGACCAGCACAACACACACTAACACACCACCACCACGTCAGTGTTACTGCAGTGCTGAGAATGATCCACCACCCAAATAGTACCTGCTCTGTGAGGGTCCATGGGGGTCCTGACCACTGAAGAACAGGGTAAAAGGGTCTGTAACTGTAGAACTACAAAGTGCACATATATAGTAAGTGGAGCTGATAAAATGGACAATGAGCGTAGAAACAAGGAGGTGGTCATAAAGTTACGCCTGATTGGTTTATACTCTGCTTGTCATTCCCAGAAAGTGTGCAATTGCCCTAAATGCAGAAATGGATGGAGAAATTTAGAAAAGGCCTAATTTGTGATTATATTTATTGGAAAGTTTTGTAGAGGAGCTCAAAACTACCAGTGCTCTACTTCATCAGCTGTGTCATTCCAGTATACTGTGTTACGTCACACACAGTGTGTGAATACGACACTAGGTGGAAGTGTTTGCTCAGTTTTAGTTTTGTTTCTTTTTAAATATTGATTTGGAAAATGTTTCTCACTGACCTACCACTAGTATTATATTATCAGGTTTTATTTATACTGTTTAGCATAAATATAGAAAAAAATATAGTTGTACCACAAAAACATACACATGTACGTGTCCCTGGAACATCACTAAAAGTTCAAAAGTTTTAAATCGAGTTGTATAAATTTTAAATTTTAAATTTGAGTTGTATATTCCCAGTTTGGTTGCAGAGGAATAACGTGATCATAATGTGTTAGTCCTGTATATTCAGGTTTCACACAAATAGTAGGACATTAAAAGTCTCTAAATACAAATTAAGATATGTTAGGTGTGTCCAGAATGATGAACAAAGCCGTAGAGTATTCTAAAACGACTGAGAAAGCTGTACAGAATGAAGTTTCTATGTTAATATGGCAGGTAATTCCAAACCATTAAACACTACTGTAATTTAGGTCTGAAAGGGTTAAATTATTGGGCAATGTGTGACATCACTGGCTATTCACTGGGCACAGCAACCACTGAGCAACTGTAGGACAGACTTTAAAACATACAGAGAAGTTGTTGTTACATGTAATGTAATATTGATATGAACTGCAATTATTTACGTTTTTCAATTGTTGCTGCTAATTTACCGGACAATACTTCTGTTTTTTCTCTAAGAATCCATAGCTGTGACTTTCTGAGCAGGGAAACTACAAAACTATGCAGGGCAGTGGTCAGAAGTGCAAAGTGGACAGCTACCCCTTTTATGGTGTTTGAGAGTTTCCCTGAATTCCCTTGTAACCATACTTTTAAAAATAATTCAATAAGATAATAAACGACTTCTTTAGTTCATTTCTGATCATATTGTTATATTATTATACCTAAAGCTGTTGCTTTTTCCATCGTCAGTACCTTTTAGCTGGATACCTTAAATTAAGTTACCCTTTATTAATCCCACAGTGGGATTAATAAACCCATCTGTGCAGTGAAACACCACATACACACTAGTGAACACACACACTAGGGGGCAGTGAGCACACTTGCCCAGAGCGGTGGGCAGCCCTATCCACAGCACCTGGGGAGCAGTTGGGGGTCAGGTGCCTTGCTCAAGGGCACTTCAGTCATGTACTATCGGCTCAGGGATTCAAGTCGGCAACCTTCCGGTCACAAGGCTGGTAGCTTCACTAGTGTGTATGTGGTGTTTCACTGCACAGGTGGGTTAAATGCGGAGGTGAAATTTCCCCGTTGTGGGACTAATAAGGGTCACTTAATAAGGGTCACTGAAATCTAGTGAAACCTTGAGCATTGAACTTACTTTCTGTAAGGCGAATATCGACATACAGTAACTTTCTGAGTATTTTTTCCATAAACAACTTTACTTTCATTCCAGGACTGACATTTTAGAGAACTATGGCAAAAAACAAACCTGTATTAAAGTTTACTGGTGTTTCTTTCCTCTACAGAGCTCGCGGAGACAGGATTCTACCTGTGCGCCTATGAGTTCACCATCCGTGGACTGAACTCCCCCTGGTGCCGGCTGTATGATAGATCAGACGCAGAGGTATTTCTGAATTTCATATCTTTTTATATCGTACTGAATTCAGCTAGAGGGTCACATAAAGCTCATCCTAGATTCCTGATATTAGTCTTAGGAGCCTCGGTATCGTAGCCTTGGAGTTTCATACAAAAGCTTGCTTTTTTTTAACATTAACTGTTTTAAGGAAAATCTTCAATAAATCCATATATTAAATAATTTAATGTATGGCAACTTGTGTGCTAATTGCGCCCCTGCTGGAGAAACTTCAGGCTGCAAGTGGTTTCTAATGCCAGGTTCCTGTGCTATACATAAAAAAACAGGCATTTTCCATTGATATGGCAACGTTTACATAATTCAGTTAACCACGGCGACAATTAAGCTGTACAGAAAATACTGCAAATTTTAGTCCATAAATCACACCCAGCAGCAGGTGAGGAATTTACCATAGCCTTTTAAAGGGCCTGTCATAACATTATGTATAAGGGTCATTCTACAGAAACGTGCACTTTTCTATCTCTCCATAGGAGTCACTGGTGTTACTGGTCCTCATTGGTGTTACACATAATAAAGGAACACCAGAGACATTTTTAATGAACAATGCATTTTACAAAATGGCTGCTACAGAACTTCAAACCACATGTTGTCAATCATGGAATATCCACTAAAATATGGAATTTAATCCATTTGTATTCTATTTTTTCACAACTACCTGAGAATAAAGTCGGTCACACCAGTGACTTCAGCTAAAAGCTTCATATGAAATCATGAGCTGAATGAGAAAATCTCTGATAACTGAAAGACACAGTGGACTCACCATGTGCTTTTCTTCATAGATCCTCAGAAAACAGGCAAAAGGAAGTCGAGTGATGTCATCAGTGTGACTTTTATTTCAAAATAAGAGATTTTTTGTTATGCAGTAACACCAGTGACACGACTCCTGGGGACAACAACTTTCATTCTATATTTTATAATATTGATTCGTCATTTGTTTTCTTTGTCATTTAATTTATAAATTCATAGTCATGTATAGATTATTGTAGCTAAAATTGCAGAAAAACATGTTTTTTACCTCAAAATATGGCCTCAGCCTTCACACACGACTGTGGACGAGCTCTTCTGTGGTGCTTGGAATTCTATATGATTGATTTAAAAACCAATATTGCTAAACTGATGGCTGAAGAAGGTGTAATTGTTAAAATAACTTATTGTTTTATTTGAAAATATAAATAAATTGTAACACTAACATGTTTTTTAAGTGTAATATATCTGTAAATGCTAGGAACACAAAAATGGACGTTTCTGTAGAATGACCCAAATATATTTATATATATATATATATATATATATATATATAAACATAATACAGCTAGTATTACAGTACTTAGCAGAGAGAACTAACAGGCATTTTCATAACCTTTGTGTTCTCTTTACTGTTTTTAATGTATTCTAATTGTAATGTGTGAATCAGGTGGTTGACTACGCTTCAGACCTGGGCCTGTACTATAAGAGAGGCTATGGCCACAAAATTGACAGCATGGCCAGCTGTGTTCTCTTCAACGACTTGTTTGACCGCCTTGAAAAAGCAGCCAATGAGTTCAGGTGAGAGCTACGAAACAGTCACTGCAGTTATTCAGTCTCACATCATTTTCACAGTCATTAGATTTCACAGTCACATAGAGTTGGGTGTGTTTGATTAAGGTAAATAAATGTAAATTTGTTAGCTGTGTAGCTACTTCAAAGGTTTTTAGCATGTCTGCTGGCAAAATGAGTATTTTTTTTTTACTCTAACAAAAAACATGTAGCTTCGCTTAAATCTACACATAATTCAGTGTAACTGTAGATATTACTCTGAGTGTACTGACTCAACAGTGCAAATAATGTTGGCTACTAAGTAAACACTGTTAGCAGGTAAAGTGGCTGATCAGTCAGTTTGGCTACTTTAGGCATGTATTTTAACATTTCGCTGTTGTCAGAAGAAAACCTCGTATCTCCAAAATGGTAACTTTACAGGAGAAAGAAAAAACATACTTTACTTTTAATGTAAGTCAATGGAACCAGAATTTTTTCCATGTCATTTTGGGCCGTTTCTTTTAGTCCAATTATCATGAAATTTACATGCAATGTAAAGGGCAACAGGTATTTTCAAATTATGTCAAAAACTGAAAAACGACAAAATGGAGATATGAGGTTTTATTCCGACAGCAGCGATTTGCAAACAATAAACAGAAAAAGACAATTAAATCTTAAATTGCAGTGATTCATATAACAACTAATCGCTAAAATGTCATTATCATGACAGCCTTAGTTCTGTTAAGGTTAAAGAAAACACAATATCAGTGTGGAGTCTTCGTGATGAGTAATTAGAAAGACACTGGCAGCTACTTCAGCAGCTTGGAGCTACTTGATACAGCTGTTTTTCAAGTTTTACATTTTATGCCTTCGCTTCAAGCCGGACACTGAAGGCCTCGCAACACGAGGATATTCAGTCATTTTCAAATAAACCGATATCAGATCGGGATCAGCCGACGCTCAACGTTTCAGTATCAGGACTGGAATTGGAAAGAAAAAATGATATTGTGACGTCTCCAGTTTGCTGGAAACTAGGTTTATTTTTTTCCCTCAACTGACAATTTTATCTTTAAATATTACATTTTAAATATTTTACATAGTACAGATATAAGTTCAAGTATTTCCAGACAAAATGTGTTACAGTATAGAAAATAAAACACAAGCAAATTCAGAAAGTCACTGGACATGTCTTCTCATAAAGGCAGGATTGAAACCACAGTTCAAAAGAGTGGATTTTATTTAAAATAAATGTGCTGGTACGAGTGGATCAGACACGGCAGTGCTGCTGGAGTTTTTAAACACTGTGTCCACCCACTGTCCACTCTATTAGACACTCCTACCTCGTCAGTCCACCTTGTAGATGTAAAGTCAGAGACGATAGCTCATCTGCTGCTGCACAGTTTGTGTTGGTCATCCTCTAGTCCTTCATCAGTGGTCACAGGACGCTGCCCACAGGACGCTGTTGGCTGGATATTTTTGGTTGGTGGACTATTCTCAGTCCAGCAGTGACACGGAGGTGTTTAAAAGCTCCAGCAGCACTGCTGTGTCTGATCCACTCAGACCAGCACAACACACACTAACACACCACCACCACATCAGTGTTACTGCAGTGCTGAGAATGACCCACCACCCAAATAGTACCTGCTCTATGAGGGTCCATGGGGGTCCTGACCACTGAGTAACAGGGTAAAAGGGGGCTAACAAAGTATCAGAGAAACAGATGGACTACAGTCTGTAACTGTAGAACTACAAAGTGCACCTATATAGTAAGTGGAGCTGACTCCTTCAATAAGGCAGTGGCATGTAAACTCACCCCTTTAGGTCTTTGAGTAAAATGCATTTCAGTACTGTAGTGGGGCTCATGATGGCAGACGGATGACTTGTTAACTATTATGTACACACAAGGATGGATTGTTGGACGATGTGGATGGAATAAAAATCATAACATGACTGTGATAAACTGGTGAACCCATAATGTAACATTGACCTTTGCTTAAAATAATGAAATATGTTATTTTGACTAAACTATTACTTAACAAGCAATACATTTAGCCCTAGTTGAGTCTCCTGTAATTTTTTTCTTTGCCTTACATTCTCTCTCTCTCTCTCTCTCTCTCTCCCTCAGTGCTGGCCAGTCTGTATCTGAAGTGGTCACAGTGGAGATCGGTCATGCTGAAACGCTGCTGCCTCTTGTGACCTTGCTGGGCCTCTTTAAGGACAAGACCCCTCTTACCGCCGACAACTACGCCTCTCAGCTCAACCGTGCTTTCAACGGCGGACACATCACGCCCTACATCGGTAACCTGCTGGCGGCACTGTGGAGTTGCCCTGATGGCTATAGGGTGCAGTTGAGAGTGAACGAGAAACCGGTGGAAGTGCCGGGCCTCAATGAATTCTCTCCTCTGTTTAAGGATGTTAAAGAACAATATCATCAGATATTGGGCTGTAACCAAGAAGCCATCTGCAAAATGTAAAGTAAAAACCAGAAAACTACACTGAAAAAAGTAATGAAATGAATTCTTTTCGCCCCTGGTTGTGCTGATGTGTTTCGAATTTGAAAAGAATTACTTGAAAAATATTCCAAAAATATGGACAGCTGCGGTCTTTTTGTACCAACAGATTAAGAGAGGCATCCTGAGCCGTGTTCTTTCAGGCCCACAGCTCCACAGAGATTAACATTTCTTTCAATTCAATCCACAAAGGTCTTGCAGAACACTGAAGTCTGTGTGCTGTAGTGACTGGATTCGGATTAGTACCTCTGGCCAAAACTGGGACAGAGGCTCTTCACTGCCCTCTGGTGGAGCATAGAGTTCAGACAGCTTATGTTTCTTAATTTAGAAAGTCTAACACTGGAGAGAAGCTAAACTGCTTAACAAATATTCAGATTTATTATTCAATTATTTAAACATTCATGACTATTTGAAAATTCTGACTCGTCCTTAATTCAGTGCATCACTTTTTTCAGTGTACAGGCTGGTTTTTAGTCCCAGGGACACTCTGCACCTCCCCTTTCTGAGTGTTGCTCTGCTCTAACATTAAGCTTGTCCCAGTCAAGTTTATTTGTCCAATAATCCTGATTCATTTGATACTGAGTATAAACGAGTCTGATTAGAATAGTTTTTTTCATTGCACACTTCAAGTACATTATAAACCCATTCTAAAATGCTTTGATTGGCTCTGATACTGAACTTTCAGACTGGATTGGGGCATCTTTGTGTAACACAGCTGGTTCAACCCATTGGATGGTTAGTAATTGGTCCACAAGTTGAATCAGATGTGGTACAACAGGGCATTCATAAAGATGGACAGTGCATTGAATCTCTAGGGCTAAGACTTGGATCAGTGAGAGCAACTGACCACTGACCACTTTTATCGCTTAATAATCACTATATAACAGGAGCTGAGCTAAATAGTTAAACTAAGTGAAGGTACTGTCATAAAATCTAACATCAAAGAGCAGGAAAGCCGACCATACTGACCGAGGGCTACAGACCAAAGAACCTGAGGGCAAATCACCGAAGCCTGTTAGTAAGGAAACACCTACGAAGCACTAAATACCACTATGAAGCAGACAGCAGTGCGTTGAGTTGATGTTCTATGTTGGTCTAAGTCGTATTTAGAATTTTGATGTCAAGACAACCCGGATTTGTCCGTTGTCTCAGTGCTCTTCTCTAGTTTAGGGTTGCCTTTGCAAATCTAGTTGGTGAGCTTAGCTTCTCAGAAAAATCTGGACCTTTTTTTTTCTTATGCACATTACAGATGTTTTAGTAATCATAGTGAATAACTGACCAAATGCTTTTGTGGAAGTTCACATTACTGCATCTGTAATGACAGCTGTGTCTCTTATTCAAAAAATGATCTGCAATTTCTGCATAAATACAATATTTTACAACACCTGATACAAAATAAAGAGGCTTGAAATCAGATTCACTGTCTTGAATTTTTCACAAAACACTTCACATGTTTGGTTTAAACCAGGGGTTCTTAACCATTTTCAGAGCGCGCCCCTTTTTTAGGGTTCAAAACATTTCACATTATTCCAGTTAGCCAGCTAATTTAATTTAGCTAATTAAGTTGGATATTACCTCATTGGCTAACATCATCTAGATAAGCAAGTTAGCTCACTTAAATTCTAGCAGACTAACTTCTAAAGATTATTATAATATTCTATTATCTGATCAGTGAACTGTGTTCCTAAACCTTCAATGTTTTGTAGAGATGATTATTATCTAGCTGGCAGCCAGGCTGATTCATTTTAGCTAACATTAGCATTGAGTATCACCAGCTAAGTAACTGGTTCTAACTTAAGAGGCAGTCCATATTTTAAATTATACTGTCAGTCAACAGTATTACAGCACCTATAACTGAGCTTTTACCACCATCATTCATACTCAACTGTTTTAAAAGTCTAAAAGCTGAGCTTTACTGCTCATGTAACCTCACCCATGATGTGTTTTATGCTAATTAAAGACATTAAATAGTTATTCAATATGCAAAAATTAAACTCTTCAAATTACTATAATTATATTTAAACAAACATTTTAACAACTATTAATCTCCCTCTCACTAGAAATATTCACAGTGATGCAGCTTCATAACAGTAACTATCCTCAGCAATAGAAAGCTGGTAGAGTTGTGTAATGCTAAAAAAAAAGTGGTTAATGGGAAACAGGTCAGTAACATGATTCGGTATAAAAAGAGCATCTCAGAGAGTCTTTCAGAAGTAAAGATGAGGAGGGGTTCACCACTCTGTGAAAGACTGCACCATCAAATAGTGCAACAATTCAAGAATAAAAGTATTCAGTATTTGCTGGCCGTGATTTTTGGGCCCTCAGGCAGCACTGCATTAAAAACAGACATGATTCTGTAGTGGAAATCACTGCATGGGCTCAGAAACACTTCTGAAAAACAGTTCATCACTGCATCCACAAATGCAAGTTAAGACTCTAAAATGCAAAGAAGAAACCATACATAAACAGGATCCAGAAATGCTGCTACCTTCTCTGGGCCTGAGCCCATTTAAGATGAACTGAGGGGAAGTGGAAAAGTGTCCTGTGGTCCGACGAATAAACATTTGAAAGTCTTTTTGGAAATCATGGACACTGTGTCCTCCAGGCTAAAGACCACTCAGCTTGTTATCAGTGCACAGTTCAAAAGCCAGTATTCATGATGGTATAGGGGGCATTAGTGCACATGGCACGTGCACATCTGTGAAGGCACCATTAATGCTGAATGATATATACATGTTTTGGCAACATATGCTGCCATCCAGACGACGTCTTTTTCATGGAAGGCTTCGGTTATTTCAGCAAGACAATGTCAAACCACATTCTGCATGTATTACAACAGCATTGGTTCATATTAAAAGAGTCCGGGTGCAAAACTGACCTGCCTGCAGTCCAGACCTGTCATCACTGATAACATTTGCTGCATTATAAAATGAAAAACACAATGAAGGAGACCCTGAACTGTTGAGCAGCTGAAATCCTACATCATGAGAGAACGAGAATGAGAAAACATTGACGCTTACATAAACAATTCACAATTTCAACATTTGATATGCTGTCTTAGTAACGCTTTCAATTAAACATAGGATTTAAACTTTTTTTGTTGTATACAAACAATCATCATCTGTAGGGTACTTTCTTTTGGGAGGTGTCTGTCCCAAACCCTAAGCCCTAAATTTCAATGTGTGAAAATATTAATTACTTTTTTTTTGCATTGTTTTGTTGTTTTCTAAAATATCTTTTTGATATTCTTTTGAAGAGACGTTGAAATATTTAGAGCAGCTTCATTTTTAAATTGAAAAAAAAAAAATCAGAAAATCCCAGATTTGTACCACATTTTCACACCACTACGGAAACACAAATAGAGCCTAATTTCAGCCACACCCCTACATTTCAGAGCAGGAAGTGAGACTGCATCCTTGTCCCTCATGGCCACACGGTGAGCAGTTAGATCACTTTGTTTTGTGTCCCAAAGACGGAAATCAGTGTGGAATGTTAAAAATTACTGCGCAACTGAAACACATTTTCTGCAATTAAATAACTTTCAATTAGTCAATTAACTTTTTTGTGTTTTAGTACTTTAGATGTCCGTCTGGGTTCTTTTGTGACCCCCCTGTATGAGTCGTCGATGCACTCTTGGTGAAATTTTGGTAGGCTGGCCACCCCTGGGAAGGTTCACCGCTGTTCCAATTTTTCTTATGTTTCATAATGGCTCTCACTGTGTTTTGCTGGAGTCCCAGAGCCTCAGCAATTGCTTTGTCATCCTTTCTAAACTGGTCAATTTCAATGATTTTGTTTCGCATCTGTATTTGAATCCCTTTAGAACGTGGCAACATGTGCTGCTTTTTGAGACCTTCTAGCTGCTTCACGTTGCCAGACAGGTTCTATTTAAGCAATGTTAACAGGTCTGGCAGTGATTTAAAATCTTACACTTCTCACATAAATAGTTACAACTGAATCCATCCATCCATCCATCATCTAAACCGCTTATCCTTCTGGGTCGCAGTGGGGTGCTGGAGCCTATCCCAGCTGTCACTGGGCGGAAGGCAGGATACACCCTGGACAGGTCGCCAGTCCATCACAGGGCAGACAGACAGACAAACACACTCACACCTAGGGGCAATTTCAGCATGTCCAATCAGGCTGACTGCATGTTTTTGGACTGTGGGAGGAAACCCACGCAGACACAGGGAGAACAGGCAAACTCCACACAGAAATGACCCTGGTCACCCGGCCGGGAATCGAACCCAGGCCATTCTTGCTGTGAGGCGACAGCGCTACCCACTGCGCCACAACTGAATCCATGATGTTTCATTGTTGATAAGCTGATAAGTTTCCTACCGTCAGTCAGAGAGACATGCAAGTTTGGCCGTGCAATGCAGTAAAGAACAGATATATGTGGATGATGCCATCTAGTAGTTTATTTACTTCTGATAAAAAGTGACAAAGGTTTCAAGTTGGCTGAATTTTTTTCTGTGTTTTGAAGCATCAGCTAAGGTAGCCAGCTAGCTAGCTAACCTATAACATATTCATAAAATTACTTCAAACGCTCCATAAAATATGACTTGGCACTCACTTTCTGTAAACCTGCGATGGTTACTTTAAGTTATTTGCTGCGATTACTATGTGTTCATCTAGCTAGCAGGCTGACTTATCCTTGCTGGCATCTGAAAAACAGTATAAAGTGTGCAACTTATTTATCAGATTCCTTCCTTTGGGTTTTGTAAGCGTCCAGCCTGCCTGTAGTTATAGCACTTCATCGCCATCGCCCTCTGCTGGCGGCCGGTGGCGGTGAAGTGCCATAACTCCAGGGAACTCCAATTCCCAGAAGCCCTCGGGCTGATTAGGCCCAACCTGACCCACCTGTGGACTCCTCTACTTAAGGATGTGGCAAACAGCAGCCCTTTGTCACACCTTTGTAGAGAGGTGACCGGTACAGTACGCAGCCCAGGTGGGTATTTAAACAAAAAGAAAAGAAAAAAAAAAAAGAAAAGAAAAGAGGGCTGGAAAAAACAAAAGAGAGAAATCGCCATAAAAAAAACTCAAAAAAAAAAAAGACACAAGAAGGCTTGAGCTACAAACGGCTCCAAGCCATACAAAAGGTGTTTAGGCTCTAAGAGCAAACAAGTGCAACATAAAGTCTGCCTTCCCTTCATAATTACAGGGGAAGAGTCTCTTGTGTTCTCATTATCTTTTATTTCACGTTTCTAGTTCAGCCTTTCTTTGAGCTGCTTTCAGCGTTTCCTCTGTTTGCCTTTTTCCCACCTTTTTATTTCCCGTTCCTTAAGGCGTTTTACCCGTTGTCGCCTGTGCTTCCCAGTGGCGCAACGGTAACTCCAAGGACCACGGACGGTTCAAGCCTGGCTCTGTCACCTCAATCCCAACGTGCCAAATTCACATCCCATTACCTCAATGAATTTATTTACCACCCTTTTTCACGGGTTTTCATCTTTGCACTTGGGTCCGCCTCCCTGCCGCCTCGTAACAGGTTTAAATGCAGCCATTTGACAAAGTGCTTAATTAAGCAAAATGCTCTACAGTAAGAGACGACACGAAAAAGCTAAATTCAAAAATGCTGAACAATTTGAAAAACTAAACTTGAAAGACCAAATGTGCAGGACTAAATAGTAAATAGTCAACTAACTCAAGCTAACAGAACGTAGCCAAGGGCAAGTTCATTACTACTGGAAAATTCCGTTCCACGTTGTCCCCTCCCTCCTCCCCTTGGGCTGCAGGTGACCCCTTGCTTAACGTTCTACACACCTTTCAACGACACGCTGGCATACTGACTAACTTAGAGTAAACACATATGTCTCAGGAAACACTGCTACGTACCGAAGTAGCAGCGCTAAACTAGGGACTGGTGGTAGGTGAAGGAAGGGGTGCGCCCACACCCCATGACCCCACAAACCCAAAACAGCACCAAGGAACAATGAGAGATGTAGGAATAAGGCATTGTTGGTTCAGAGATGAAACAGGCTGGCCGATTAGTCTAGAGGGCTGGACGTTTAAGACTATTTGGCAGCATCACTGGTTCCCTGTTAAACAGTACTGAAATGGAGGGATCGCTCAAAAGAAGGGCAAACAGCTGATGTTGGCTTGTTAGGTCAGGTACTTTTTTCTTCCGAATTGTGGGCGACAAGTGATAATGGTCCTAATTCATTAAAGAAATCAGAGTGTGCACAACATCGTATGAACTGCTCCATGTCTGATTTGTGAAACGATCATCCAAAACAAGCTGAGATTTGACTGGAGTTGATGAATCGGGTTCGGTGCATGGAGACAAGTTCTTCATTAATGATAAACGTCAGCAACTCAGCCACGAAGTGGTCGGCCACGTAAAATGACAGAGCGGGGTCAGCGGATGCTGAGGCGCATAGTGCGCAGAGGTCACCAACTTTCTGCAGAGTCGATCGCTACAGACCTCCAAACTTCATGTGGGCTTCAGATTAGCTCAAGAACAGCGTAGAGAGCTTCATGGAATGGGTTTCCATGGCTGAGCAGCTGCATCCAAGCCTTACATCACCAAGCGCAATGCAAAGCGTCGAATGCAGTGGTGTAAAGCGCCGCCACTGGACTCTGGAGCAGTGGAGACGTGTTCTCTGGAGTGACCAAACATGCTTATCCGTCTGGCAATCAGATGGACGAGTCTGGGTTTGGCGGTTGCCAGGAGACGGTACTTGTCTGACTGCATTGTGCCGAGTGTAAAGTTTGGTGGAGGGGGGATCATGGTGTGGGGGTGTTTTTCAGGAGTTGGGCTCGGCCCCTTAGTTCCAGTGAAAGGAACTCTTAATGCTTCAGCACCAAGAGATTTCGGACAACTTCATGCTCCCAACTTTGTGGGAACAGTTTGGGGACGGCTCCTTCTTGTCCTGACCTCAACCCGATAGAGCACCTTTGGGATGAATTAGAGCGGAGACTGTGAGCCAGGCCTTCTCATCCAACATCAGTGTCTGACCTCACAAAAGCGCTTCTGGAAGAATGGTCAGAAATTCCCATAAACACTCCTAAGCCTTGTGGAAAGCCTTCCCAGAAGAGTTGAAGCTGTTATAGCTGCAAAGGGTGGGCCGACATCATATTAAACCCTGTGGATTAAGAATGGGATGTCACTCAACTTCATATGCGTGTGAAGGCAGACGAGCGAATACTTTTGGCAATATAATGTACATATAATACATGCAGTCAGGCTGATTGGACATGCTAAATTGCGTAAATGTGTGAGTGTGTCTGTTTGTCTGCCCTGCGATGGACTGGTGACCTGTCCAGGGTGTATCCTGCCTTCCACCCAATGACTGCTGGCATAGGCTCCAGCTCCCCGCGCGACCCAGAAGGATAAGTGGCTTAGAGGTGTGGCCAAAATACTTTAAATCCTCAAGCATTCATTCGCTACCATGGTATTTGTTTCCCTGTTTATTTAGTATTTTTTGTTGTTTATTTGTTTGTTTGTTTTTTTACAAGCCACAGACATCTTAGCCCACAACACATTCCATCAAAGACCTTTCGATAAGACAGGGACTGTTAATATAGTCAAAAAATAGGAAAATAAATAAACTTCACTGCTTTCTACGTCGCCAAGCTAAAAGAGCAAAGATGCCTAAGAAGCTACGTTCGTGGGAGCACTTCAAATTGTGGAATGATAAGAAAAATACCCACCGCAAAATTTGAGAGATTTGTATACCATGGAGGCAAAACAGCTTGGATGAATCATCTCAAATATGTAAGTGTAGTGATACTTATCTCTCCCGATTTCAGCTAATTTGTGGCGTCACTGGTGTATGTTGTTAAACACATTTGCTGCCTACTAGATATTTCAAACTGCACTGTTTAAATGTAATAAACATGGGTAAACTATCAATTATGTATCAATTATGAGTTACAGGTCAATTATGAATCATATTGTGTTTGAGGGTGATTTTGAGAACGACAATTCAAAATCCATAAAACTTTTTTTTAGCTGATTCAGTTGTCTTTGCCCTCCTCTTGGCTAAGAAAAGGATCCTTTTGCCGTGGAAATCCACCACCCCACCCTCACACGCTCTATGGCTAACTGATGTCATGTTTTTCTTGGACTTGGAAAAGATTCAGTTTAGCCTGAGAGGTACTGCAGACTTATTTGACCGGATCTGGCAACCATTCATCTCCTATTTTAATCGCCTATCTAACGTAAATACAGATTAGAGGACGTCCTCATCCTTTTTATTTGCCCCTTTTTTTCCTCCCTAATTTGTCCATCTTTGTTTTTCCGTTTGTTTTTTTTATTTTACCGTTTTCAATTTATTTTATTTTATTCTTTTATCTTAAGTTGGGGGAGGCAGGCAGAGACTGTGGGGTGTGGGGGGGTATTCAGGGTTAGGTGGGAAGGGTGAGTAGGGTGGGTTAGGGGATTGGGGGGATTTAGGGATTCAGAAGGTGGAAGGGGGCTAGATGGTTTAAGATATTGTGGAATTGACACTGTTACAATTGTAACTGTTTTCTTTCAAGCTGTGGAATAAAAGGGAAAAAAGAGGGGGAAAAGGCCAAATAAAGACCCCAAACAACTTGGGAGCCTGGGGCTCCTAAGGTAAATCCTTTTTTTCTGTACTTTTCTTAAAGTTCTGTACCTTTTTAGTAAAGTGAACTCATGTCTTGAGCCTTCAGTCACAGTCAACTTTGTGTGACCTATAAGATAAAACTGCTGAACCGCTACGACTCTTTGTAAGATAGAGTGGTGGACAGTTTGAATAAATCAACCTGAACTTCAATAAGACTCATGCTTGAGCCTTCAGTCACTGATACCTTTGTGTGACCTATAAGATAAAACTGCTCAACCGCTACGACTCTTTGTAAGATAGAGTGGTGGACAGTTTGAACATTTTAAATAAACCAACGTTAATATCAGTAAGACTTAATAAAACAATGTAAGACAGTTTGAAGTGTTTGAATAAAGTAACAAAGGCCTAGCAAGGCTTTATAAAACAGTTTAAACATTAACTCAGTGGCTTCAGTGAACGTTGAGAACGTGTCTCTCTCTCTCTCTCTCTCTCTCTCTCTCTCTATATATATATATATATATATATATATATATATATATGTGTGTGTGTGTGTGTGTATCTTCTTTTACTGTTTAGTTTCTTCTCAAGAACTAAGATACTCATTGTATTCTTTTAAAACAGCTAGTTCAGTTACAATAGCAACAGCCTTTTGGGACAATTTTCTTAAGGATTAACTTGCAGACTCAGCATTCTGGCTACAGTCTTCTAAGAAGTAATGGCCAAAAGTGATATCGTAAAGACTTTTGAAGAGCACGAAAATGTAGCCTTGAAGTGTTTTTAGGATGTGTTGTTTATTCTGACCAGTTCACTCATCCCAAATTAGTTTCTATGATGTTTTGATGAAACAGTATTCGCATCATCCAACAAATACAAATAATTTGACAAAATAATTCTCTAACCATGTTAAATTAATAGTTCACCAACATGGTTTAAGTATATCATAAGGCAGAACATGCAACAATATATTTGCAGCATGGAATATTTTCATAGTATTTGGTATTTACTTAGTAATTAGGGGTGAATACTGATGTTACCAGATGATAACAGAATGCTTCTTATGCAAAAGTGTAATCTTTATCTTTATTGTCTTGATTTTTCCAAGGTAAGGAATTGGAGTACACAAAGAACGACGTTCTGATGCGCTTTTTTGACACATGTGAACACCTGAAAACGGTGTGGAACAGCCCAGAAGCTATGAAAGAGGTCGATCTCTTCCAAAACGGCCTGAAGATGAAGAGGGTTCAGAGGGAATTGGCCGACCTGCTACAGATCCCTAAAACCAAAATTACCCCAGGTCAGTGTATTATTCTCATGTTCCCTACATGTAGGTTGCCCTAAATGTGACACAACTGATGCAGAAATGGATGGAGAAATTTAGAAATGGCCTAATTTGTGATTATATTTATTGGATGGTTTTGTAGAGGAACTCAAAACTACCAAATCAACAACTGTATTCTCACCCAAGACCCGGCCTTTAGAGAGATACAGCAAAAAAACTGTATTAAACCTTACTGGTGTTTCCTTCCTCTACAGACTTAGTGGATGCAGGATTCTACCTGTGTGCCTATGAGTTCACCATCCATGGACTGATCTCCCCCTGGTGCCAGCTATTTGTTAGACCAAATGCAGAGGTATGGTGCTAATAACGTCCTTTGTGTGTCATGTAGAAACAGTGGATCGCTGTATGGATTTTTGTCAGACTAAGAACGTTGATGTGTGGTCAGTTTCTGAATTTTACATCTTAATGAATTCAGACTGATGGTCATCCAGTTACATCGCTCTATCGCCACGGTCTAACATACACATGATAAAACGATTAGTTCACAAAGTAATTACAGAGTATTAACAGAATATGCACTGGATATATGAGGTTAATGTGGCTGACAAGTCATGAAAATATATATTCCAATTAACCTTTTTGAAACTGTAATGTAATTCAGTATACTCTCCTCAAACCGTGGTGAGCTAATGGACTAATCACACACTAAAATGTATATACATAGACAAAGTTAACCCTTGTGTGGTGCTGATGTGTTTGGTAGTGGTCTGGTGGACCCACCACATTATAAATCAATACAGCCATAACAATTTGTGTAAAAATACCAGATGTTTAAAATATCACAAGCGTCCAGCGTAGGGTTCTCCGTTAGCAGCTGGACAGGCTGCTGACTGGCTACATGTTGTCCACACACACACACACACACACACACACACACACACACACACACACACACATATATACAAGCACACATATATATATATATATATATATACTCTTACAGCAGGCCATGTAGGAGGAGAACAGAGTGAAGGACACAGCACCTCCACACTTTTACTCCCCGTGGGTTCAGCCCAACACCACATGTGTAATATAAATGTGTGGGGGGTGAACAGAGTGAAGACACTGATAATGGGTTATTTTATATGTTCTTCACAGAAAATGAGCAAAAGACAAGAATCTGAGGTTGAAATAATAATAAATCACATCATTTTTTCTTTGGTAAACATTGAAAACGGGTCCCACAGACCTGAACACCACACAAGGGTTAAGGCTTTGTGTCAGAACATAGTTTTTTTTTTTTTTTGCCAAACTTTGTTCCATGAATTCAGTTTCACAGACAGTCTTACTACGAGAACCGTGATGAATACACACACACAACAGTTAATACACACGTAATATATCATTGTCATATTTAAACTGTAAATCTAAAAGATGGAAAGTAAATCAGTTTTGTGTGCTGTTCGTTTTTAAGGTATTCTAAGTCTAATGTGTGTATCAGATTGTAGAATATGCTTCCGACCTTAAGCTGTATTATAAGAGAGGTTATGGCCATGAAATCAACAGCCAGGCCAGCTGCGTTCTCTTCCAGGACCTGTTCAAACGCCTTGAGAAAGCAGCCAACGAGTTCAGGTAAGAGCTACGAAACAGTTGATGCTTACTTTTGTTGTCAGGCTTTCCACAGTTTTTTTACATAATCGCCTATTCGCAATTACTTTAGATGATCGCAGTTATTTAGTCTGACAGCAGACGTTTTCACAGTCAGTCATATTAAGCTGCCACGAAAAAATGGCAGATTGGGTTTGTTGGGTCAAGGCAAATAAATGTAAATAAGAGAAAGCAGTAAATGCATTCATTGAGACGTCATGGGGCTTATGAGGAAAAAAAGTAACTTCTGACTTGGTGCTCTATCAAAAAACACTTTGCCAGCATGTTAAAAACATTAGAAGTAGTTACAGCTAACGGGTTACTTTATTGGTTAGCTGTGTAGCTGCTTTTAAAGTTTTTAGCATGTCTGTTGGCAAAATGAGTGTGTGTTGCCTCACAGCAAGAAGGGCCTGGGTTCGATTCCCTGGCCGGGTGACCAGAGGCCTCTCTGTGTGGAGTTTACATGCTCTCCCTGTGTCTGTGGGGTTCCTCCCATAGTCCAAAGTACATGGACTGTGGGGCCAACGCAGTCAGGCCAATTCGACACGCTAAATTGCCCCTATATATATATATATATATATATATATATATATATATATTAGCACTTAAATTCTATAAGGAGGCTACGCACTTAGAATTTTCACTCACTCACCACCTCTGTAAATGTGATGTGACAATAAACATTATTTGATTTGATTGAATGTATATGTCTGTGTGTCTGCCCAGAAGGAGCAGTGGCTTAGAAGATTGTGTGTGTGTGTGTGTGTGTGTGTGTGTGTGTGTGTGTGTGTGTGTGTGTGTGTGTGTGTAGGCATTTCTCTGAGTGTACTGACTCAACAGTGCAAATAGTGTTAGTAGTCAAGGTGGCTGATCAGCCAGTTTGGCTACTTTAGCCATGAATATTCCTTAAATAAGGCAGTGGGATGTAAACCCACCCCTTGAAGTCTTTGAATAAAATGCATTTTAGTACTATAGCGGGGCCATGATGGCAGACGGATGATTTGTTAACTGTTATGTACACGCAAGGATGGATAGTTGGACAATATGGAGTCAAACTATGACTGCAATAAACTGGTAAACAAACATTGACCTTTGCATAAAATAATAAGACATTTTATTTTGACCAAACCAACACAGTTTGCCCCAGTTGAGTGTTCTTGTAAATTGTTTGTTTTGCCTTACATTCTCTCTCTCTCTCTCTCTCTCTCTCTCTCTCTCTCTCTCTCTCTCTCTCTCTCTCTCTCTCTCTCTCTCTCTCTCTCTCTCTCTCTCTCAGGCCTGGCCAGCCTGTATCTGAGGTGGCCACAGTGCAGATCGGTCATGCCGAAACACTGCTGCCTCTTATGACCCTGCTGGGCCTCTTTAAGGACAACATCCCTCTTACCGCCGACAACTACCTCTCTCAGAACAACCGAGCTTTCCGCGGCGGGAAGATCATGCCTTTCCTCGGTAACCTGATGGCAGTGCTGTGGAAGTGCTCTAATGACTTTAGGCTGCAGTTGCGAGTGAATGAGAAACCAGTGCAAGTGCCGGGCCTCAATGACCTCTCACCTCTGTTTGAGAATGTTAAAAAACAATATCAGCAGATACTGGGCTGTAACCAAGAGGCCATCTGCAAAAACAAGTAAAAACCAAAAGACTACACTGAAAAAAGTAATGCACTGAAATTAAATCATGTTTTTTTTTAGTTTACTTAATTTTGCCCCTCGTTTTGCTGATGCACTACGTTTTATTCATGGGGAAAAGGATTTACAGATATGAGTCATGCATATTAGTATATATTATTATTATTATTATTATTATTAGTAGTAGTAGTAGTAGTAGTAGTAGTAGTAGTAGTAGTAGTATATTGCTGTTGTCGGAGCAAAACCTTGTATCACCAAAATGGTAACTTTACAGGAGAAGGAAAAAACCTTCATTATTTTTAATGTAAGTCAATGGAACCAGAATTTTTACCAAGTCATTTTTGGTCATTTCTTTTGGTCCATTCATCGTGAAATTTATACACAATATACAGGTAAATAGACACAAATTATGTCATAAACTGAAAAATGGAGATACGAGGTTTTGTCCTGACAACAGTGACATCTTAGTATATATTAGTAGGGATGGCCATTTCGGACCATTTTGATATTCAAATTTGTAAAACATTGTTTGAAAAATATTTCAAATTTTATACAGCTGCAGTCGTATTTTAATGCTTCCTTCTCTGGACTAAACAGATCAGAACAGTCATCTCGAACTGGGTTCTTTCTGGACCACAGCTTTGTAGAGATTAGCGTTTTCCTTCAATTCAATTCACAAAGGCCTTGCAGAACGCTGAGGCCACAGTGCTGTAGCCCTGCAAGGTTAGAACCTCTGACCAATACTGAGACAGAGGCTCTTCACTGCCCTCTGGTGGAGCATAGAATTCAGACAGCTCGTGTTTCTTAAACATTAGAAAGTCTAACATTGGAGAGAAGCTAAACTGCTTAACAAAAATTCAGATTTATTATTCAATTATTTAAACTATGACTATAAACTACTTCAAGACTATTTGAAAATTCTGACTCGTCCCTAATTCAGTGCATCACTTTTTTCAGAGTACAGACTGGTTTTTAGTCCCAGGGACACTCTGCACCTCCCATTTCTGAGTTTTGCTCTGCTCTAACATTAAGCTTGTTCCAGTTAAGTTTGTTTGTCCAATAATCCTGATTCATTTAATACAGAGTATCTGTCGACGAGTCTGATTTAGAATTGCTTTTTTCATTGCTAAAGCAGCTGCACACTTCAAGTTCATTACAACCCCCTTCTAAAATGCTTTGATTGGCTCTGATACTGAACTTTCAGACTGGATTGGGGCATCTTTGTGTAACACCAAATTTGCCTGTTTTGTCAGTGCTCTTCTCTAGTTTAGGGTTGCTTTTTGCAAATCTAGTTGGTGAGCATAGCTTTAAAAAATCGGTTCCTTTCCTCTTATGCACATTACAGATGTTTTAGTAATCATAATGCCTGACTGACCAACTGCTTTTGTGTAAGTTCACATTACTGCATCTGTAATGACAGCTGTGTCTCTTAATTGAAAATTGTTTCTGTTAATTTAAAACACCTGACACGAAATAAAGAGGCTTGAAATCAGATTCATTGTCTTGAATTTTTCACGAAACACTTCAAATGTTTAGTTTAAACCAGGGGTTCTTAACTACTTTCACACTGTACCTCTTTTTTAGGGTTCAAAACATTTTGCAAACCCCTCTCTTGCCCTCTGCCCCCACAAATGAGTATATACACTATATTGCCAAAAGTATTCACTCAGCCATCCAAATCATTGAATTCAGGTGTTCCAATCACTTCCATGGCCACACATGTATAAAACCAAGCACCTAGGCCTGCAGACTGCTTCTACAGACATTAGTGAAAGAATGGGTCGCTCTCAGGAGCTCAGTGAGTTCCAGCATGGTACTGTGATCGGAGGCCACCTGTGCAACAGTCCAGTCCAGTCATGAAATTTCCTCACTACTAAATATTCCACAGTCAGCTGTTAGTGGTGTTATAACAAAGTGGAAGTGATTGAGAACAACAGCAACTCAGCCACGAAGTGGTCGGACACGTAAAATGACAGAGCGGGGTCAGCAGATGCTGAGGCGCATAGTGCGCAGAGGTTGCCAACTTTCTGCAGAGTCAATCGCTACAGACCTCCAAACTTCATGTGGCCTTCAGATCAGCTCAAGAACAGCGTAGAGAGCTTCATGGAATGGGTTTCCATGGCCGAGCAGCTGCATCCAAGCCTTACATCACCAAGCGCAATGCAAAGCGTCGAATGCAGTGGTGTAAAGCGCCGCCACTGGACTCTGGAGCAGTGGAGACGTGTTCTCTAGAGTGACCAATCACGCTTCTCTGTCTGGCAATCCGATGGACGAGTCTGGGTTTGGTGGTTGCCAGGAGAACGGTGCTTGTCTGACTGCATTGTGTCAAGTGTAAAGTTTGGTGGAGGGGGGATTATGGTGTGGGGCTGTTTTTCAGGAGTTGGGCTCGGCCCCTTAGTTCCAGTGAAAGGAACTCTTAAAGCTTCAGCACCAAGAGATTTTGGACAATTTCATGCTCCCAACTTTGTGGGAACAGTTTGGGGACGGCCCCTTCCTGTTCCAACATGACTGAGCACCAGTGCACAAAACAAGGTCCATAAAGACATGGATGAGCGAGTTTGGTGTGGAAGCACTTGACTGGTCCTGACCTCAACCCGATAGAACACCTTTGGGATGAATTAGAGCGGAGACTGCAAACCAGGCCTTCTCGTCCAACACCAGTGTCTGACCTCACAAATGCGCTTCTGGAAGAATGGTCAGAAATTCCCATAAACACTCCTAAACCTTGTGGAAAGCCTTCCCAGAAGAGTTGAAGCTGTTATAGCTGCAAAGGGTGGGCCGACATCATATTAAACCCTATGGATTAATAATGGGATGTCACTCAATTCGTATGCGTGTGAAGGCAGACGAGCGAATACTTTTGGCAATATAATGTACATTACAGAAATTACTGCAGTATAATCAAATAGCAGGTCTCGTTTCTTATTGTGATGACTGGGACTGCATTCCTAAGCATGCACTTCTCCACAAACCACAAACATTTAGTCTTGCACTGAAAAAAGTGTTTCAATTTAGCACTCATTCAAACTGACAGTCACTGACCACCACCTCACCGCTCTGCCTCACTCTTGGAACCCCAATGGAACAACATCGGTCAGGTTAAGAACCCCTGGTCTAAACGTTTACTTTAAATATAAAGTTCAGAGTCGACTAAATCTGCAGCTCTTTTCTTCCACTTTCTCCTCACAAGGAAAAGGGGAATAGAGGAGGACTGACAACATACTGATTATTCCAGTTGTGGACTGACTTTTTTTTACTTAGCCAGCTAATTAAGGTTAGCTAATTAAGTTGGATCTCATTGGCTAACATCATCTAGATAAGCAAGTTAGCTCACTTTTCTGTTTTAAACTCTAGCAGACAAACGTTTAAAGATTGTTATTATAATATTCTATTATCTGATCAGTGAACTGTGTTTCTAAACCTTCAATGTTTTGTAGAGATGATTATTTAGCTGGCTGGCTACCAGGCCGATTCATTTTAGCCAACATTAGCATTGAGTATCACTAACTACGTGACTAGTTTTAACTCGAAAGGCAGCCCAAATTTTAAATTACGCTGTCAGTCAACAGTAACTGAGCTTTTACCACCATCATTTGTACTTCAATTGTTTTAAGAGTCTAAAAGCTGAGCTTGGAGACATGCTGAAAAACATATTTTGATTTGGATCTTCTTACATTAATTATGTAGTGATTGGACCCCAGATATAACCTTATAACACCAAGGAAATTTTAGGAAAACATGACACTACACAATCACATCATTCTACCGTCTTAATAATGAAGACATTCTGTTTATTTTATGTTTTATTCTTTCTAGTAGTCATGATTTTAACACTATAAAGTTTGGCCAGTAGGGGGAGCAATGTACTCGCTGCTTGACCTCAAACTCCACCTATGAGTGCAAACGTTGGCTCTAGAGCTGCTGAACGTTGTTGTTTTATTGTCTCCCTACTGAAACATCTGCATGAATTAAGGTGTGTTTCATACAAATGATGTGTAATGAGATGCTGGTAGCCAATAACTTGATTTCATTCATTGAAGCTGATCATTTGCACTTAAATCTCCACTTGGTTCAATTTCGTAATATTTAATAATAATAATTAATATGGACCACTTTGCCATCCACTTTATCAGAATGTCCCCAGTTTGACTTGCCTGGACTAGAGGATGAGCTATGGTCTCTGACTTTACATCTACAAGGTGGAGCAACAAGGTAAGTGTGTCTAAAAAAGTGGACAGTGAGTGGACACAGTGTTTAAAAACTCCAGCAGCGCTGCTGTGTCTGATCCACTCAGACCAGCACAACACAGACTAACACTTCACCACCACGTCAGTGTTACTGCAGTGCTGAGAACGATCCAACACCCAAATAGTACCTGCTTTGTGAGGGTCCATGGGGGTCCTGACCACTGAAGAACAGGGTAAAAGGGGGCTAACAAAGTATCAGAGAAACAGATGGACTACAGTCTGTAACTGTAGAACTACAAAGTGCACCTATATAGTAAGTGGAGCTGATAAAATGGACAATGAGTGTAGAAACAAGGAGGTTTTTAATGAAGTGGCCAGTCAGTGTATATGCTGTGTGTAATTATGTCATGGTTATCCGTGTATCATGGTTTTAGTAATTTATTTGTAAGCATAATTAATAAATTTGAAAACAAAACATTGTTGATTAATACACCACTATACACTATTAATGAGCTATTATTAAAATGAACATATTAATGTTACCAGCATTTTTGGTGCTCAGTGTTGAAATAGCATTAAATGTGCTGAAGAATGTGTACTGACTTGTTTAGCACTCGAAGATTAAGACTTGGGACTTGACCTGAGACTTGAATTAACCCGGGAATCGAAACTTGAATTATTCCAATTAATGCAATTATTAATAAAGTCTACATAACTTACACTCGAGCTTCGTACAAACGGTTTGCCTCAGCGAAGTTCACTGAGGCTAGCCTAGCCAAGGGCAAGTTCATCAGTAATGGAAAATTCTGATGCGTGTAGTCCCCCCCCCCCCTTGTGCTGCGAGTGACCCTTTATCTAACAAACGTGTTGTGTAACCGTACCTTTATCTTCGTCAGGGTGCAGCAAATATCAGGGGATTATTAACGATCCTGATCTGATATGTGATGCGACTGATATGATTTTAGATGGTGAAAGTCCAGTGTCAGCACGTCTTCACCTAGTGCTGAAGTGAGGTTGGTGAGGACATATCGTCCCCTTGGAATTATAAGTTTCTCTCTGCGTTCTGAGCAGTTTTGAGATATTGAGCTTGAAAGATTCTGCATTCCAAATAGCAGGACTGATATGTGGAACAGGTCTATGTCATACATGAACATGACAGACACCCAAAATGTATTCTAAATGTATAATATCAAAATCCTATTAAATTTGTAAATGAGTTTTTTTGGAACAGGTCAAATGCAGACAGAATCTTCTAATCCTAAGAACTCACTTTCTGCTTTTCAAAGAACACAAACAGGTTACTCTAATTATAATTTGTTTTAAAAGATAAAATTAGTGTTGTAGCAGAGTGTCTACATCATCAGAAAGTGAAATTTAATGCCTTTTTATTACATTTTTATTCATTTATTTCTTATGACATTTATATGTATGATATATTTTTTCCGTTTTTTATTTCTTGTTTTCAACTTTACCGAACAGAAGGAAAACTAAGCACCAAAGAATCACTGCATGCGGTATGATGCGCGTGATCAATCCACTCCCATCCACTAGCCCAGCCCCTTCAGATTCACAAACAATAAAAACGCAGCCTTATCAACCAGGAATGCAGAACTAGCTGTAATAATTGCTGGAGTAGCCTGTAGATTTCTTTTCGGTATGAGTTTATGTTTTCAGAGCTGAGTGCATCTGATTTTGAAACAACCATAAAACCATAATTATGAAATGAAGCTCATACAGAAGGTGAGAGAAGAGAGAGGACAGTGCGAACATTCAATCTGCCTGCAGTATGAAAGGGAAAAACATATTAGGCTACGTTTACACAGCAGGTAAAAGTGGCACAAATCCAATCTTTTCCTACACAGATGTGAACAGATAAACACACTGAATCTGACATTTTCAATTCCGATTTGAGACGCTTTCATATGTGGTACTGAAATCCGATACGTGTCTGATTTGTGTGATCTACACACCCTTTAGCAGCTTGGTATACCGACTAACTTTGAGTGAAGACTTTCATTTCCCAGAAAACAAACCCAAAATAGCACCAAGGAAGTCTGGGAGATGCTGGAATGAGGCGTTGTTGGTTCAGGAATAAAACAGGCTGGACGACTGGGTTAGAAGGCTGGACATTCAAGACTATATTTCTAATAATGATGAATAATTAGTCCCTACCGCCTTCATCAACATGATCTCTGTGTCCCTGATCTTAGAGATGATGGGTATCAGAAAAGCTGAAGGTGTGTTGTAATGAACTAATGATACAGAGGTAATGACGTGGCTCAATGAAGGTAGTAGGGCAGCTCTACTATGTAGCTCAATAATAATAATAATAATAACAATAATAAAGCTGACGCATAAATGTACAAGCATTCACTCAAATGACCAGGTGAGTCACTCATGTACAGTACATGCATGTGTGTAGCCTTCTTTCAGAATCTGCGTCTGTTCTGAAGTGTTTTCTTAAAGGTGAGGATCAAAATTATTTGACGATTTGCTCTGTTAACTGCTCTGCTGATGAAGAAGCCAGCTTTTTTACCAACATTATAATGTTTGTATTTAAAGGGACAGTAGAACAGTGAGCTCTTGCTATTTAAGCAATAGAACATGTGGTATCGCAAAATTACATCATGGCCTGTGATCACAGCCGTGATGTTATTTGTGATAACACAAGTTACATAAATATGGTAATCAATTAATAAACTGGGCCGTGAACGCGGCGTTTAATATGTTTTAATGTTCGCAGTTTCTTTCGCCAAATTATAGTTCCTTAACAAGCAGCTTGTTTCTACGTCAGAGTAACGAGCTCCGCCCACTCGCTGCACAGTCTGCTGTAAGCCTCGCCTTTTGAAGTACAGACTGAGCCATAAAACTGCCGCAATATCAGGTTTAGCTCAGTTTTGTCATTTTTTGACAGATCAGTATTAATGTTGTTTTGTTCCAGCCAGTCTGTAAAGCATCTTACAGCCCATTTAGTTTGGCGAATGGTGTTGGGTTCATTTCTGGCTGATTCCAGGTTGTTCAGCTGTTCTTCTGTCACAGCTGCCGACTGAAAAGCTGCTCAGTGGTGATGACAGTTTGAGAATTTAGTGTCGTCTCATCTTCAGAGTCTGACCAAATCGGCTGTCGGTCAAATGTGATCTTAAAAGTGTCCATTTTCTGTTTGTGGCAAAGTAAGAAGTAAAAACGTTCAAATGGCTTAAGGGTCTCCTACTGCTGTCAAAGTCGTTGCTTAGCAACGGCGTCTCAGCGGAGTGATAGTGTTTGTGAAAAAACTGTGATGTTATGGTGAAATAACAGCACAGTTAGAACGCTTCTCAACCAATCAGCTTGCGTGGCCGGAACGAACTGTTGTATAATAGATGTTATGACATGAGTTACACTCAAGGTGCGAAATAATCCCTGAAAATACACTTATTTGGACGTTATGTTGTCCATTAGACAGAAATAGATGATCAAATACAAATTCAGGGAAAGATCATGGTTTAGCTGCTTCACCCAAAAGTGAGCTTCTTTCTTTGGTATTCTTAACTAACTAGACCTGCAGCACTGGTCTGCCTCAGAGTGGCGCTGCAGCAAATTGGTTCACCCATTTGGTCCTCTGAAGTGGCCAGCCAACATGGGACCCCCTCCAAATACCAGGGGTTATTTCCCATACTGGTTACACTAGCTAGTCAGGTCAGGTACTTGTTGCATATGAATTGTGTCTGGCCCTTATTCATTAAAGCTGCATAATAACAAGTACAAATTGGAGTTTGCAGAATAATAAGTATAAACTACTCAGTGTTCAGTTTATGAAACTGTCATCTAAAACAAGCTGATATACACAAATCAGGCATAACATTATGACCACCTCCTTGTTTCTACACTCACTGTCCATTTTATCAGCTCCACTTACTATATAGGTGCACTTTGTAGTTCTACAGTTACAGACTGTAGTCCATCTGTTTCTCTGATACTTTGTTAGCCCCCTTTTACCCTGTTCTTCAGTGGTCAGGACCCCCATGGACCCTCACAGAGCAGGTACTATTTGGGTGGTGGATCATTCTCAGCACTGCAGTAACACTGACGTGGTGGTGGTGTGTTAGTGTGTGTTGCACTGGTACGAGTGGATCAGACACAGCAGTGCTGCTGGAGAACACTCAAGGGTCCATCTCAGTACCTTTAGTGAGGGAACATAACTGAACCATAATCCACTGAAATGATATGTTCTAAGCTGTACTGACTCCACACACCCCGTCTCGTCTCCAGGCTTTTATTTTACTGTTCTGTTTAAAACATTCGGTTATGAAAAGGAACAAATACGAACTTTTCACCTGGAAACACTTATTTAAGGTTCACAATCAGACCTTAAAACCACTGTAGTACACTGCTGGAACATTTACATCGTTTGTACCTTGATGAACAAAAAATGTACCTGAACAGAACCTTTATTTCTAACAGTGTACCCTATACCAATAGGTGCCCTTGGGCAAGACTCCTAATGCTTCCTTCGCCTACCTGTTTATCTGTTTATACCTCAAATTGTAAGTTGCTCTGGATAAGAGCGTCTGCCAAATGCCATAAATGTAAATGTAAATTTATACCATTTGGCAGATGCTTTTATCCAGAGCGACTTTGAAGGCATTAGGGTTTTGAATCTGATGCAGCTACAGGAATCCAGTGAAGGGAGCGCAGCAGTGGAGTGACATGGCTGAACTTAGGAAGATTGAAGACGAGCCGTGCTGCTGCATTCTGGATGAGTTGCAGAGGTTTGATGGCCGCATAGGAAGACCAGACAAGAGCGAGTTGCAGTAATCAAGACTTGAGATGACAAGAGACTGAACGAGCACCTGGGTGGCCTCTCGAGTGAGGCAGGGTCAGATCCTCTGGATGTTGTACAGGAGAAACTTGCATGACCGATATGAGCCGAGAACGATAACTGGCCAGCCAGAATTACACCAAGACTGCTTGCATCTTCAGATAGAACAATCAGATTAATGAAACTATACATTCCCTCTAAAATCATATCACTCCAGGAACATCAATAATCAGCTGATTTTTGCTCCACCCGGGTGAAGGAAAATAGTGGGGTGAAAGTCCGGGAGTAAGGCGAGGCGAGTGGTGAGATGAGGTCAGTGAGGGCATTGAAGCAGTATTAATACAGAGGGATAGCTTGGCCAACTTCTAACCAAAGGGCACAGATAAATGAACACCTTTCACGTCATTGTCTTCTCTTGAACACTGCAACAAACAGGGACCTGGCGAAGCTGATTAAGCTGCAGAATGGTTGACAAACTCCTCCAAACGCACTTCGTTGCAGTGCTCCATGTTGTTGTTGTTGTTTTAGCTGTTCTCTCCTCTTGCAACGTTACTGCAACTCCCAGAGACAAAGGCATCCCTGACAACGCCAAATACTTCAACACCAAAAGCCGCTATGAAGAGGTCAACCCGTATCTGCAGGACAATATTCTGGCCATAAACAGCTCCGCGGTGAAGCCTCCTGCTCCAACTTGCATTCCAGTCCACTTCACGGCCATCATCAGACACGGCACCAGATTCCCAACCTCTGGAAACATCAGGAAGATCGGCGCATTCGACAACCTTGTCAAGACTGAGGCGAACGGTGACTTGAGTTTCCTGCCAGAACTCAAGGCATGGAAGATGTGGTACACAGAGGACATGGATGGGCGCCTTGTGGCCAAAGGCAGAGCAGACCACAGGTATCTGGCCCAAAGACTGGTCAAGACGTTCCCCTCTCTCCTGACCAAGGAGAATCTTCTGGGCGGACGGGTCAAGTTCATCACAAGTTCCAAAAACAGATGTGTGGACAGCACCCTCGCCTTCCAACAAGGACTGAAGGAGCATTTTGGTATTGAAGGTAATGTATCCAGGAGTAGTTACTGCAGTTACAGTAGAGATGTTGCCAAGACTTGCAGTATGAAAATACAGCCTTGGAATGTTTTCTGATGTGTTGTTGTTTATCCTGACCAGTTCACACATTCCAAATGAGCTTCTGAGGATGTTTAAATGAATCGATATTCTCAACACCCAACAAACGTAAATCATTTAGGTTACATGAATGGTTCACCAAATGTGGTATTCAGAAGGGATTACTGAAGTTACTAGACGATAACAAAATACTTCTTATGCAAAAGTGTTTATATACTGTTTGTGTGATGTTTCCAAGGTGAGGAACTGGAGTACACAGAGAACAACGCTCTGATGCGCTTTTATGACACGTGCGATCGCCTGTTGGAGACGGTGGTGAACAACAAAGACGCTGTGATACAGGCCACCCTCTTTAAAGATGGCCCAGAGATGAAGAGCGTTCAGAAAAATTTGGCCGACCTGCTGCAGATCCCTTACGCCAATATTACCAAGGGTCAGTGTGTTATTCTCATGTTCCCTTCATGTAGAGCCTATTATATAATCGTGCCAATAGTAAATACTTTGAAGGAGAGAGCGCTCGAGCTTCAGGACGTCTTCTTTTAGCAAATTTGTGCTGCGCCTGTGATTCTTAGTGTGCAAGTGATGCCATAAGCCTAATTTGAGACTATATTTACTTGAAGCGTTCGCGGAGGAACTCGAAACCACCAGTGTTCTGTTTTACCTGCATGTGTCAGCTGTACCATTCCAGTATATCCACAATATTCCAAAGCCCTTGGCTTGCTAACAACAAAAATGTTGTTGCATATCAACAACGTTAAGCAGAGGAGGTTTTCTTTTACCTTATCTTTCTACCATAGAAGGATGAAGAAGGGTTAATTCCCATATGGAAGTACAGGGTGACTCAAAAGATTCAAAATGATTTTCACTTGTAAATCATTACAGATCAATGCAGTAAACTGTAAATGGTTTAAATGAACTTAAAGTTTATTATGTAATTGTACAAGGTCTCAGTATGAACCTCCTCCAGCTGTACAGACAACATCAACACCATAGTCAAATTCATCCCATAATGGATTGAGCATGTCGGGTGTCGCTGCACTCCCGGCTCTTTCAGTGCGATTTCGGAGATCATCCAGTGTTGTGGAACCAACGCCGAACGCTCTGAGCTGTTGGAGCTTCACTGCCCACGAAAATCACGCTGCACAGTTATGACTGATTCACTCTTATTGAAGTGGAGAACGCAGAACGCTTTCTGCTCAGGGGTTGCATCTCCTCTCAGACTGAAGGGAGCCATCTTCCACTGACAGTCAGGAACTCTATGACCCCTCTTTCAATTAGATTGTGATTGGTTCCTCGGCCCCTCACGGTTGTGAAAATATGGCGTTTTGAAATCGGATGAATCTTTTTGAATCACCCAGTATTTTCACATACTTTGAGAAATAATTAGCAAGCAACAAAAAGGCTTTGAGGTCAAGGAGGAGGTCAAGCAGCCATGCCGCTGCTGTATTATGGAAGTTTAGCTGACAAAGCAGCTTATTCATTAAATCCCAGGCTTATTACTACAATGACTTCAATTCAAACTGGCTGTGTTATTCTTAAGTTATAGAAGCGTGTAATAAAACTTTGGGCCTACCGGTGAGTCCTGGCCATTTAAGGGGTTAAATGAGATCACTGTAGTAATGTTGAATTGCAATGGAGCAATTCTGCCTCATGTTTATTGGCTGACCCATTGAGCTTGTGATTATTGGATGTATGTGGCAGTTTGTAGTAAATGGACTGGGGTAAGTTACATAAGAATAAACGGTCCTGTGATCTGAGAAACTGCTTTCATAACCGTTTGGTCAACGGAAGGAGAATCAACTGCTCTTTCTAGATTTTGATTTAGTTTGCTAGGCGGCCACAAACCAAGCATGTAGTCCTGGAACTACTTAAAGACAACAGTACTTTTAAATATAATTAAATTACATTAATTATACTTGAGTTTATTTCTTAAAGTATCGGTTTAGCTTTTTTAAAATGTTAAGTAAAACTATTAACTATTACTTACAAAAAAAAAAGAACTTCACAACTCACAACACACACTGAAGGGAAACTATATTCTGTTTATTTTGTCATTTGAAAAATAACATGCATGACAGCCATTTATTATACCTAAAGCTGTGTTCCATTGTCGGTACCTTTCAGCTGGATACCCTAAATGTAAATTAGTGGGCAGGTTAGGTAGCTAATAAATCTAGTGAGACCTTGAGCATCGAACTTTCTGTAAGGCGTATATTGACATACAGTAACTGCCTGAGTAATAACTGTCCTTTCACTCCAGGGGGCGTATTATGGAAAATTCTTATCTTCTTTTAACTTAAGATCTGACTGGTCAGGATAAGATTTTACACAAATTCGTATTACAGAAGCAAATCTGATCTTAATTTAAGCATCTTATCTTACAGCATCTTTTTTTATCTCAAGTTAGGAAATCTTAACTTACTCGATTGAAGTCGACAATCAATTGTCGTGTCTGTTGCCTAGCAACCAACCACATGCGCACAGCTAAAACGTAAACACATAATCAATTTAGTTAGCCAGACAGCTAACGTTAGCTACCCTTACTGAGGTAAAGAAAGTCAAATAAAACTGAAGTGTGATAAACTGAGAGTTAAGAATATTGTGTCAGCGCTTCGTGCTGTTTATCACAGTCGCTGCTTTCAGTTTCAGTTTCATTTCCCAAACGCTTTAGCGGAGCGCGCTAACGTTATTCCTCCTAATAAACAGACACACGTTCAGCTCTGTCTCCTCATTATTTATCACCATCACTGTAATATTTCATCATCAACATTAACACACGAAGGCAATGAGAGGGGATGGTGGAGATCGAGTCTGCAGAGTCTGGGGCTTTTAAACGCTGTTAGAAGTCAAAGCTCAGTGTAGATGAATGTGGCGTCATTATGCTAGTTATAGTGAACTGTGCTGCATAAAACAATAGAAACAGATGGCTAAACAGAAGTTAAGACAATCTGTGGTTTATCTTAAAGTTAAGAAAATATTTAGCATATTTTGGCAACTTATGATGTTTCTAAGACATAAGATAAGATTATAGACATAAGAACTGTTGTTCTGTAATGGCTTCTGTCCTACATTCAACCTTAACTGAAGTTGCCATGACAACAAAGCAGATCTGAGACTTGAGTATTTTCCATAATACGGCCCCTGGACCGTAATTTTCAAAAGCCGTAACAAAAAAAAACCTGTATTAAAGTTGTAAAGTTGTATTAAAACTGGTGTTTCCTTCCTCAGACGTAGTGAAGACAGGATTCTACCTGTGTGCCTATGAGTTCACTATCCTTGGACTGAACTCCCCCTGGTGCCGGCTGTATGATAGAGCGGATGCAGAGGTATGGTGCTAATAACGTCCTTTGTGTGTTATGTAGAAACAGTGGATCGCTGTATGCGTTGTTGTCAGATTAAGAACGTGGATGTGTGGTCAGTTTCTGAATTTTATATTGCTGCTGTCAGAACAAAACCTCGTATCTCCATTTTTGTTTTTCAGTTTTTGACATCATCTGAAAATGCATGTTGATCTTTACATTGTGTGTAAATTTCATGATGAATGGACCGAAAGAAACGAACCAAAGTGACTTAGAAAAAAGTCTGGTTCCATTGACTTACATTAAAAGTAAAATAAAAAACATTTTCAAAAAGGTTCTATATAGAACCATATACAACACATTTTTCATCAATCTGGAGAATCATTTCACCATGCAAAGAAGCCGGTAAGCATGCAAATGGTTCTTTGAGTGATCATAGTCTTATATAGAACCGCTGTCTTTACCCTGTTCTTCAGTGGTCAGGACCCCCATGGACCCTCACAGAGCAGGTACTATTTGGGTGGTGGATCATTCTCAGCACTGCAGTAACACTGACGTGGTGGTGGTGTGTTAGTGTGTGTTGTGCTGGTCTGAGTGGATCAGACACAGCAGTGCTGCTGGAGTTTTTAAACACCTCAGTGTCACTGCTGGACTGTGAACAGTCCACCAACCAAAAATATCCAGCCAACAGTGTCCTGTGGGCAGCGTCCTGTGACCACTGATGTAGGACTAGAGGATGACCAACACAAACTGTGCAGCAGCAGATGAGCTATCGTCTCTGACTTTACATCTACAGGGTGGACTGACAAGGTAGGAGTGTCTAATAGAGTGGACAGTGAGTGGACACAGTGTTTAAAAACTCCAGCAGCACTGCTGTGTCTGATCTACTCAGACCAGCACAACACACTAACACACAACCACCACGTCAGTGTCACTGCAGTGCTGAGAATGATCCACCACCCAAATAGTACCTGCTCTGTGAGGGTCCATGGGGGTCCTGACCACTGAAGAACGGGGTAAAAGGGGGCTAACAAAGTATCAGAGAAACATATGGACTACAGTCTGTAACTGTAGAACTACAAAGTGCACCTATATAGTAAGTGGAGCTGATAAAATGGACAATGAGCGTAGAAACAAGGAGGTGGTCATAATGTTATGCCTGATCGGTGTAAATTGTTGTCATATTTTAGTTGTAATCTCAAAGATGGAAAGTAAATCAGTTTTGTGTGCTGTTGGTTTTTAAGGTATTCTGAGTGTAATGTGTGTATCAGATTGTAGAATATGCTTCCGACCTTGAGATGTATTATGAGAAAGGCTACGGCCATGACATCATCGGCCAGGCCAGCTGTGTCCTCTTCCAGGACCTGTTCAACCGCCTTGACACAGCAGCCAATCAGATCAGGTAAGAGTTACGGAACAAGTTGATGTTCATTTTTATTATACCATCAATTATAGTTCCGATAGAGTTAAAGAAAACACAATATCAATATGATGACTAACCCAAAAGGTACTGGCAGTTTATTTCAGCTACTTTCCATGATACGGTTGTTTCTCTAGTTTTAGATTTTGTGCCTCTGCTTCAAGCTGGACTATGAAATCCTCGTAAAACAAAGGGCCATTTAGTTCTTTCACTTCATATGCATAGATATGGTATAATATTACGCAAAATATTTAGTTTCTCAGCTTAGTTAGTGCTGTTATTTCACCATAACATTACAGGTTTTTCACAAACACTGTATCACTCCGCTGAGACGCTGTTGCTAAGCAACGACTTTGACAGCTGTAGGAGACGCTCAAGACATTTGAACGTTTTTACTTCTTACTTTGCCAAAAACAGAAAATGGACACTTTTAAGATCACATTTGACCGACAGCCGATTTGGTCACACTCTGAAGATGAGACGACACTAAATTCCCAAACTGTCATCACCACTGAGCAGCTTTTCAGCTGTGACAGAAGAACAGCTAAACAACCTGGAATCAGCCAGAAATGAACCCAACACCATTCGCCAAACTAAATGGGCTGTAAGATGCTTTACAGACTGGCTGGAACAAAACAACATTAATACTGATCTGTCAAAAAATGACAAAACTGAGCTAAACCTGATATTGCGGCAGTTTTATGGCTCAGTCTGATTTGGTCAGACTCTGAAGATCAGACTACACGTTTGGCGAATGGTGTTGGGTTCATTTCTGGCTGATTCCAGGTTGTTTAGCTGTTCTTCTGTCACAGCTGCCGACTGAAAAGCTGCTCAGTGGTGATGACAGTTTGGGAATTTAGTGTGAGGAGCTGGAGAACGAACTGCCGGCTGTGCAGCGAGTGGGCGGAGCTCGTTACTCTGACGGAGCAACAAGCTGCTTGTTAAGGAACTATAATTTGGTGAAGGAACTGCGAACATTAAAACATATTAAACGCCGCGTTCACGGCCCAGTTTATTAATTTATTACTTTATTTATTTAACTGTTCTATTAAAGCAGTAGAACACTCGAGGAGTGTGTTATCGCCAATAACATCACGGCTGTGATGATCTACGGCGACCAAATCACAGCCGTGATGTTATTTTGTGATAACACACTATTGCTTAAGTATCAATAATCCTTTACAGTTACAACACATACTACAATAAGGATCGTAAAGGATAAAATATATAGGATAAAATGATATTCAGTACATTTGCAAGAAAGAAAGCTGACCACTTTTAAACTTTCTAATATTTTAATAATATTTAAGTTCAAATATTTCCAAAAAAAGTTGTTAGCGTACAGACAATAAAACACAATCAGCAGCAAAGCAAATTCAGGAAGTCACTGGACGTGTCTTCTCAGATTGTTTGCTGACTACGAATATGAAATTTCTTTGAAATGTACATTTGAAAGCTGTTCGCTGATGATTATCTGCTTCTATAAAGCGCTCATCTATATAAATATCGAGCTAAAGCTTCAGCTGAGAAGTGGGCGTGTTTGCTTGTATGTACACTGTGATCAGATTGTACAAACTGTACAGAACATCCCACCCACCATGCGTTTATATGCCCTTAATAATACGATAACTTCAGAAAATCTGATTTTGTCAGTAATGTGATCAACTTGTTTACATTCTCTCTCTCTCTCTCTCTCTCTCTCAGGGCTGGCCAGCCTGTATCTGAGGTGGTCACAGTGCAGATCGGTCATTCTGAAACACTGCTGCCTCTTCTGACCCTGCTGGGCCTCTTTAAGGACAACACCATTCCTACCTCCACCAACTTTGCCTCTCAGAGCAAGCGTGCTTTCCGTGGCGGGCAGATCATGCCTTACCTCGGTAACCTGCTGGCGGCGCTGTACGACTGCCCCGATGGCTTTAGGCTGCAGTTGCGAGTGAACGAGAAACCGGTGGAAGTCCCGGGCCTCAGTCAATTCTCTCCTCTGTTTGAGGATGTTAAAGAACGCTATCAACAGCAACTGGGCTGGGACCAAGAAACCATCTGCCAAATAAACCAGTAAAAAAGCAACAGGGTAACTACAGGCTACACTGAAAAAAGTCATGTGATGAAGTTTAAAAAGTTGCACACGGTTAAAAAACCACTACATCAACAAAATTTGGCCTTTTGGTTTACGATGCTGATGTTTTATTCACAGGGATTTACAGATTTGAACCATGTTGATGATATTGATTCAATAGAGACGGGCATTTCGGTCAGTTTTGAAATTCAAATTTTCATTATTTGAGAAATATTCCAGCTGCAGTCTTTTACACCTTCTCTTTTTGTACGAACAGATTAGAACAGGCATCTCGAAGTGGGTTCTTTCTGGGCCACAGCTCTGCGGAAATCAGCGTTTTCCAGCAACTCGATTCACAAAGGCCTTGCAGAACGCTGAAGTCCGCAGTGCTGTAGTCCACGTTCAGTGTGTCCCATTTCAGGGGCTGCATTTGAAGGCCGATTGCGTCACAGCGGCGTGACTAGGCCGTCCCATTTCGAAGGTTCCTTCATATGCACATCGGGTGGATCCTTCGCCAGCCAACATATCCCAACATTCATCAACAGAGCAGCGACTGAAGAGCACACTTTGAAATATAATTAAGTTTTGGGTTTAAACTGAAGCGAATGGCTAATGATACGAATGTATCCAAAAAAACATCTATCCATCTTTAACCTCTTCAACTCCTCCACCAGTGGGTCCAAAACGCACTTCATCATATTCTTCATAACTTTCATATTTCATAAGCTACATTCCAAAGGTGGGGGTCGTATGAGAGCTGTAACTGTCTTCTCTCCAGTCAAATAGATGGGTGATGTAAATTTACACCCTTATAATAAAAACCCTTTTGTCTACTGAAGGTCGACCCATTTTTCCACAAATCTGGGCTATAAACTATAAACAGATGGCGTCTCTTCAGTGATCTGCTCTGTAAAAATTATTTTTATAAAATAATACTAAGAGCGTCTAAGATTTTTGGCTTTCAGCAGTAAATTGTAAGCATATAGCAATATGTGTGATCATAAAACACATGTTCTGTTAATTTAAGGGGAGCTTTTACAATAAATAAATAAATAAAATTAAAAAAATTACATTTATTTCATGCAGTTACTGAATAATTTGCCTTACGATTTGGTCACGTAGATTCAGATGGACAAACTAAAGTACACCCACGAGCATAAGAGGTTAAAGAACTTTAAAGTCAGAGGTGGAAAATTCAGGTCCAGACAGTAAAAATCCTTCCCAGGATTTTGTTCCAACTGCCTAGACAGCTCTGCTGGAGGTTTGATCTAACTACTGAAGCCAGGCCGTTGGAACAAAATCCTGGGGAGGATTTTTATTTTCTGGAGCTGAATTTTCCACCTCTGTTTAAAGTAACTTGCGAGCGGTGAAGGATCCGGCCCCTGAACTGTGACACACTGAAGGACTAGATTCTGACAAGTGGAGAACCTTAGGCCTAAACTGAGACAGAAGCTCTTCACTGCCCTCTGGTGGAGCAAAGAGCTCAGACAGCTCATGTTTCTTAAATATTAGGAAGTCTAACATTGGAGAGAAGCTAAACTGCTTATTCAATTTTTCAGACATTCATGACTTTTCATGAAGATTCTGACTGTAATTCAGTGCATCACTGTTTTCAGTGTACAGGCTGGTTTTTAGCCCCAGTCGCACTGTGAACGTCCCCTTTCTGAGCTTTGCCTGCTCTATCATTAGAGATGTCCCAATCGAGTTTGTTGATGAATCTGATTTGAATAGTTTTATTTTCACTAATAATCCAGCTGCACCCTCTAAGAACATTGTTTTCCAACAACCCATCGGACATTAAAAGAACTTTCCACAAATTAAATCAGACGTGTTAGAACAGGGCATAAAGATGGGCAGTGCATGGGCTCTCTAGGACTAAGACTTGGGCCAGTAAGAAGAGGACCAGTGGCTAACGGCCCAGTGACAAACAAACTAAGCAGATAATTCTCAGAAGCTTCTGAAAGAAAGAAACCCGTAAAGTAAGCATAAAGAAAACTGCATTTGGATGATGGATGCTAATAGATCAATAATTTGACAATAACAGTGTGAAGATCCATTTCTTTGCTGCCTTGATGTATTATTTTCATTATTCAGTATTATTTTATTTGCTTAATAATTGGGTGATGGCGAGAGCTGAGCTGAAGTGAGCTAGACTGACCAAATGCCTTTATATAAGTTTAGATCACTGCTGTTTTTTGCACTGTCTGCATGCAGTACAATATTTTTTGACACTTGATAAAAAATAAAGAGGCTTGAAATCAGATTTAGTGTCATGAATTTTCCACAAAACACTTTAAATGAAATTCTGAGTCGATAAAATCTCAAATTTTTCTTCCTCTTTCTCTTCACAGCAGGAGAATAGATAAGATTAAGCAAGTAATTAACTTTGTTAAGTAACAAGGTTTTACAGTTTGTTACTTGTTACTATATAGACAATATCTGCAGGGAGATTCACTCGAAAGAGGCCCCGAATATTCTGTAATAACTCTCTCTAGGACGAAGCAATCTGAATGAAACAACGTGCAATGAGCTCCTCAGTATATGGAGCTTCCAACAAGCCGGGATGCCCCTGCGTCGGAGCGATGAGGTAGGCATCGGACAGCAGTCGCAACGTTTAACCTCCGGGTGCAGTCCCCCGGACCCCTTCATGTGCCTGGCAGAAAGCAGAGATCACTTCCAGCATCGCATGTAATGCAATCGATTACACAAACATCAAGATATGTAGCAGATTTTTTGGTTCAGATTGCTTCATCCTAAAGGGAGTCACAGCAGAATATTCGGGGCCTCTTTCGAGTGAATCTCCCTGTATAATACTAAAAGTAAAAAATAAGATAAAAATATAAACTCTGTATATAAAGAATTATAAATAAATAAAAAGCTATTTACACTGTAAGGATATTTTGCCTGAAATTCACATGGAGTTTTGCACACGAGGTACTGGTTTATGTTACACATGGGATGGTGAGGAGTTACAATATAAACAATTATAAATAGAAAGCTAAAAAATCTTTACACTGTAGAGATATTTAAAAAAATATTACACATGGAGTTTTGATTATATTGCTCACAGGAAAAGGTGATAAAATCACAGTATTGTCTGTAGGGGTGTGAGGTCTAATGGGGGGTGGAGGAGGTTCTACTGGGAGCAGTGCTGGTTGTACAGTCTAACAGCTGCAGGAAGGGAGGACCTGCGATGGCCTCCGTTACAGACTTGGGGTGAAGCAGCCGGTCACTGAAGGAGCTGCCCAGTGCTGTCAGAGTCTCATGCATGGGTTGGGAGCTGTTCTATGTGAGTCAGACAGTAATTGGATTTCTGCTGTGCAACCAGCCAATGAGCTCACAGAACAAAACGTCACATAAACGTTGTGTCTTCAAGTCTGAGAGAAAAAAAGTTGAGCTAACATATAAAATAATGATTCCAAATGTATTTATCAAATATACTTTTACAAAGTATGAAAATGGCCAAAAAATGTATTTGTTAAATATATTTTTAATGCATTTATTTGAATTTGTCATTAGATTTTTCAAATTGTACAACCCCGTTTCCAAAAAAGTTGGGATGCTGTGCAAAATGTAAATAAAAACAAAATGCAATGATGTGCAAAACATTTAAACCCTATATTTCATTGACAATTGTACAAAGACAACAAATCAAATGTTGAAACTGAGAAATTTTATTGTTTTTTGAAAAATATTTGCCCATTTTAAATTTAATCCCAAAATGTTCCATAAAAGTTGGGACGGGGCAATGAAAGGCGGGTAAAGTTGTGTAATGCTAAAAAAAACACCTGGTGGTTGATTGGCAACAGGTCAGTAACATGATTGGGTCTAAAAGAGCATCTCAGAGAGGCGGAGTCTTTCAGAAGATGAGGAGGGGTTCACCACTCTGTGAAAGACTGCACTATCAAACAGAGCAACAATTCAAGAATAACGTTCCTCAACATAAAATAGCAAAGAACTTCTGCTTTTCATCATCTACGGTACAAAATATCATTAAAACATTCAGAGAATCTGGAGAAATCTCTGTATGTAAGGGACGAGGCCAAAAATCAGTATTTGCTGGCTGTGATATCTGTGGCCTCAATATAGTAAACTGTGGTGTCATTATAATACCTTGTGGCCCCAGTATATATTAGCGTTCTGCTACTGGTTAGCTCTGGCACCTGAGACTTTGGAGGCGTGGCTATGCAGATGACAACATATAAAGGCTCATGGTAGCACACGCCTTCCAACAAAGGTACCACATGTTGTTGTTGTTAAGAGAGTTAAATCTCCCTGGTGGTCTAGTGGCTAGGCTTTGGTATTCTCAACGCTGTGGCCCGGGTTCGATTCCCGGTCAGGGGAGTCATCTGTTGGAGGGCAGTCGTGGGCTGGAGGTTAGGGAACCAACCCTGTAACCGGAAGGTCGCTGCTTCAATCCCCTGAGCTGATGGTATGTGTCTGAGCAAGGCGCCAAACCCCCAACTGCTCCCTGGACCCTGTGGATAGGGCTGCCCACCGCTCTGGGCAAGTGTGCTCACTGCCCCCTAGTGTATGTGGTGTTTCACTGCATGGATGGGTTAAAATGCAGAGATGAAATTTTCACCATTTTGGGACTAAAAAGGGTCAAATAATCTTAGTTCAACAGCTGGATGGAAACCTGACTACTTACAAACACACATGGTGGGCTGTTCCCAATTCATACTAAAACAATACCTTGTCTGTCTGTCAAGTTCCAAATATTCATTTCATTCTCATTTGTTTAATAAGAGGGCAAAGACTTCCAAAAGTGAAGCAGAGAGAAAAGAACCTCTCCTCTTTTATTGTGTGGAATGGAATGGTATAGGCAGAGACACGGAGAGGGAGAGGGATTGGTGTTCACTGTGTTCATTACATTCCAGCGAGAGAGAGAGAGAGAGATAGAGATAAAGAGAGAGAGACAGAGAGATAAAGAGAGAGTAAAGTGATTTTTACATGTATACATGTCCTCAGCTTCCATTTTCTTGCGCATCTGAAAGATATTTCTACGTTCACCTCATCATCATCTGCCTCTTTCACTCCTCTTCCCCTTTCCGTGCAGCTGGTGACACCGGTGACGTTTCCCAAACGTTCCGTGTGCTGGTCCTGCATCTGGAATAACACAAGTTCTACGAGCACTTACAGAATAAGTGGACACTCATCAGAACCACGACCTTAACAACACGTTTCATAATTTCGGATGACATTTAACCTTAACCATTCCTTTTTACCACCAGTGGTTCCAAAACGCACTTCATCATATTCTTTATAACTTTCATATTTCATAAGCTACATTCTAAAGGTGGGGGTCGTATGAGAGCTGTAACTGTCTTCTTTCCAGTCAAATAGATGGGTGATGTCATTTTAAACCCTTATAATAAAAGAAGCTGAACTCCACAAATCTGGGCTATAAACTATAAACAGATGGCGTCTCTTCAGTGATCTGCTCTGTACAAATTATTCTTATAAAATAATACAAATACAATAATATAGCAACTGCATCCTGGACCACACACACACACATCGTCTAAACCGCTTATCCTTCTGGGTTGTGGGGGGAGCTGGAGCCTATCCCAGCTGTCATTGGGCGGAAGGCAGGATACACCCTGGACAGGTCGCCACTCCATCGCAGGACAGACAGACATACACACACATTCACACGGAGGATAGCATGTCCAATCGTTGTTGGACTGTGGGAGGAAACCAGAGTACCCAGAGGAAACCCACGCAGACACGGGGAGAACATGCAAACTCCACACAGAAAGCACCCTGGTGACCTGGCTGGGAATCAAACCCAGGCCCTTCTTGCTGTGAGGCGACAGCGCTACCCACTGCGCCACTGCGCCGCCCCCATTGTTACAGTTGTCCAGCCTGGAGGTTATAAAGGCATCAGCTTTTCTGCATCTTTTAGTGATGGAATATTACGTACTTTACACAAGTGAAAGAATGCGGTTCTAACGCTGTTGCAAACATGGATCAAAAGACAGACTGGAATCCAAGATGATGCCTAGATTTTTTACAGAAAAGGCCGAACTTTAGTGATATTTCTCAAATGAGCTGCTTTAGTGACTGTGTTTACATGCAGGATAAAACAGAGCTCAGAGTCTAAGATCACACCCAGATTTTGTACTTCAGGTTTGGTAAATGAAGCTAAAGAATCGAGGTTCTCATAAAGCAGCTTTCTCTGAGTTTTAGCACCAGGAGTCAGATATAGACTGAGGTGTTTTTGCTCACTCTACTCAACAATCTGATGAAAATCTTCGTTTAAATGCTCACTACAAGTAACCCGGTCCAAAATGACGCGCAAGCGTGGAGTACCACTTAGTGCAGACGTTACCATGACAACGAGCATCACGTGAGTCCAGTCAGTGAGACGAGCAGCAGTGAGCAGTGCTTGTGTTTTTAATTGCTTTAAAATGATGTCAGACTCAGGAAAACGTCCTTCACATGTCCTTATTAAAGAAGGCCGAGAGGAAGACGTCGTGTTCTGAGACACATAAGCTGGACGTCCGTCCCACCGCCATCTTTTAAAGATCAGAGCATAAACTTCGTCTCCTCTGCAGACCAGTTTCTGCTCCGCCATGTTGAACGGTATAAACTTTCACTATGACGCGACGAACATGATCAGAACGGACTTAAACTTTCCGATAGGGAATGTAATCAGATACAGGAGTTTGCACAGATATTATTCTTCTATTTAACAGATTATTTACAGGATTGCCCACCTCGATCAATCAAATAGAAATTGTATTCCGAATGGCCTCAATCGAACTCCGACTGAGGTGTTTACATGGACGTATTCTATCCGATTGAGCTATTAGTCGGATTATTAACGGATTATTAGGCTGCATGTAAACGTAGCTACTGACTACTTTTCACCCTTTAAACAGGCAGACTGACTGATTACAAGTTTGAAGACACCTGTGATGCAAATTACAGGACACTCCTTAGTTTAACATGTCCCTATGGTCAAGTTATTTGCGATCTTTTCTAGGGGTACCATCATTTTTGTCCAGGCCAGTTTCATTAGTTTGTTTTTTAAAATTATTCCAGGGAACCACAATTCAAAAGCAATGTCTGATTTTCAATAGTTATCAGTTAAATTTTATTTATTATTACTTTTGTCGGTTTCATGTTATTTCAGTGACCACTGTGGGTTTTTCTTTCTTTAAATTTTGTCCACGTGTGTATGTCATTTGGCCCAAATGTACAACTTCACATCAATTTTGTCCTTGCGAGTTGTTTAACTGGCAGACAACATCTTGGTCACAACCTGTCAGCAGCTGGTGATATTGTTTTTTAACATCTTCATAGAGAGGTGAGGGGCCAGCGAGGCCTGGTAGGGTCACCGGTTTCTCGTTCACCCGCACTTGCAGTCTAACACCATCAGGACACTCGTACAGTGCCACCAGCAGGTTGGCAGCGTAGGGCATGATCTGCCCACAGCGGAAAGCACGGCCGAGCTGAGAGGCGAAGTTGGTAGAGGTGAGAATGGTGTTGTCCTTAAAGAGGCCCAGCAGGGTCAGAAGAGGCAGCAGTGTTTCAGCATGACCAATCTGCACCGTGACCACCTCAGATACAGGCTGACCAGCCCTGAGAGAGAGAGAGAGAGAGAGAGAGAGAGCTGAAATAGACTTTGTGTTTTCTTTAATCCTACTGGAACAACAAACCCATGGATACCCGTGTTTTCTTTTGACACAATTTTTTCTGTGATATTTTTATTTGTTTTCTTGGGATCTTGTGATGTTTGTCAATATCTAGGCAAAACGAATGCTGTTTTATTGAAATAACATTTGTTATGATGATATAAATAACTTGAGATTTTGAGGAAACAAATGAAAACAACATTAAAGCTTCCATAACAAACACTGGCGGTAAAATAAAAGTAAACATGAATGGTCTTATAGCTCTTACTTGATCTGACTGGCTACAGCATTGAGGCGGTTGAACAGGTTGTGGAAGAGAATGCAGCTGGCCTTGCTGTTGATGTCGTGGCCGAAACCTTTCTTCCAATATTGTTTCAGATCACCAGAATACTCCACCACCTGACACACATAACCACATTAATTCACACTAAGACCACCTTAAAACCACCTTAAAACAACATAAGCAAGTCTATTTGAGATTAAATGACAACTTAATCATAAGCATTATGAGTACATGACACTCACAATTAAACATTTTAAACAAAAATGGAAATCTTATTCGTTTTGGTGACATGGATACCAAAAGTAAAAGCATTCATGTCTGAAAACAGTTAAACAAAGTCAGTTAAAAGTTTTAGGAGACAATTCAGTTGGCTTTCCTGCTAAAATTCAGCCAAATAATAGATTTTGAGCCTAACATTTGATCAAAGCAACAATAATCCATGGTATGTTTTGTATATTGTAATGTAGTTTTTTTCTGTAAATATGTTTATGACATGAAACATTATCAATAAATGAACAATTTCAATCAGATGACAAATAAAAAAATAAATAAATAATGAAGTGGAGAAACCTAAATGTAGATGCTTCCACACAGGTGTACACTTTACAGTTAAGCAATTAAGAACCTACTGTGCTCTGTGGCATGTAGTGGTCAAAGAGTCCTGAATGCTTGACCCCTGTATTAAGGGGGTGTGGTGGCTCTGTTATGCTGTGAAGGGCATTTTGCCGGAATGGCAGCAAATCAATACAAAGTTATTCTGACTGATCAACTTTGTCCTGTGACAAAACATCTCTATGCTGATAGAATTGGTCTCTTCTAGGATGACAATGGCCCCATCCAAAAGGACGAAGGGTCACTGAATGGTTTGTTGAGTATGAAAACGACATAATCCTCATGCTACGGCCTTCACAGTCACCATATCTCAATCCACTTGGAGATTTTGAACTAACATGTTGTACAGCGTTCACCACCAGCATCATCAAAACACAAAGAGAGGGAATACCTGTGGGAAAAATGGTGTTTCATCACTCTAGTACAGAGTGGCAGAGGCCCAACACCTCATTAAGACAATTTGGCCCAATCGCATTTCTTCTTTTTACCGCTACCCCTTGTTTTCGAGTGACACTGGTTGAAATCTTGCCCTATGAAATGGGACCCTCAAATTAAAAACACTACTTCATTAGCAGCTGCTAGTGCTGCTCTGTAGGCGACCCTGCCAGTCTGCAGTAACAGCAGAGGAGGGTAAAGTTCAGCTCCTCACTGCTGGGCTTTAGTTACATTTAGGGCATCATATGCCTTCAAAGAGGGGGGCAATTATTTATTATCACCCCCCCTAATTCTTCAGTGATCCGAAGCTGAAGTCAGATATTCACCAGCTTCTTTGAATTTTCCCGTTCCACCTTAAATGGTGCAGCAGTTACATTCTGGCGCTTCAGGCGTTAGAACTGCTGGACTATTTAAGGTGGAACGGGAACGTTAGCTAGCTAGCTACCGAAACATTAGCATGCTATTAGCGATTTTTTATGCTTGTTATGAAGAAAACGACCATAATACACTGAAACGACATTAAACTAAGATAAAACAGTGATTATCGTAATTTTTTAACAGAGAAAATTCTCACATTTGTGGGTTTCTTTGGTCTCTTGTTCTCCATCTTGCCGGTTTTTCTTTTTTTCTCATAACTCTCTGTTTGGATTCTCTGAAAAACCTCCGTTTGGAGGGTCATGTAGCCCCAACACTTCACCCTACCCCTCTATCTCAACAAGAATTGCGACCCCCTACCCCTAGATATGAAAGCGCTAAACAGAGGGCTAAGGGCTAAGTGGTAGGGGCGAGGGGTGAAATGGGATTGGGCCATCATTTAGGTTTTTCCTTAAATTTGTCACTTTTGGCCACGAGTGTACAGCATACAGACTTTCAGCGACGCACTGTTTTTACATAACATACAAAAGACGACATTAGCAGCATTAACTTCATCTACAAGCACATCCAATGATTTGGAGGCCCCGATCTCTGCGTACCTGTGCATCTGACTCATCAAACAGTTGGCACCAGGGGGAGGTCACTCCGCGGATGGTAAACTCATAGGCACACAGGTAGAAAGCTGCCTCCACTCCATCTATTAAGGGAAAACAAACACAGGTGAGCTTTAATACAGGGTTTTTTTGCTAGAGCTCTCTAAACCTGTGGTTTTCAATCCTGGTCCTGGAGCACCACTGCCAGACTCTTGCTATCGATTATGATAATTCACTTAAATACAAGTCAAATTATTAATAAAGAATTTTTTGATCACTCAAGTAAGAGTGAATAAAATGTTATTGAAAACTACTTGAGTAATTGATTAAAGGCTTTCAAGGACAAAAATGAAGCCCAGTCCTGGTCTGCATAAGATTTTGAATAATGATTCTCCACTGAATGAAAAATCTACTCCAGGATTAGGCTTAATCCAAGTCTAAGAAATCTGTTCCAGTTAATTTATGTTGACCGCCTTACCAAAAGAAGGCCCATCTCACCAAAATCGCCGGTTCTCAGTGTTAAGTTTGTGCTTTGTAGCTGCATCGTGATCAAATGTCATTCAGTAAACAAAGCTGCAAGTCTTGTGTGAGCATAAAGGCTCTTATCACCCCCCCTGTACCATCATGAATACTGGTTTTTGAACTGTGCGCTGATAACTAGCTGAGTGGTCTTTAGCCCGGAGGACACAGTGTCCATGATTTCCAAAAAGAATTTCAAATGATTTGTCTGACCACAGGACACCTTTCCACTTCATCTCAGTCCATTTTAAATGAGCTCAGGCCCAGAGAAGGTGGCAGTGTTTCTGGATCCTGTTTATATCTGGTTTCTTCTTTGCGTTTTAGAGTTTTAACCTGCATTTGTGGATGCAGTGATGAACTGTTTTCACAGACAGTGGTTTTCAGAAGTGTTTCTGAGCTCATGCAGTGATTTCCACTACAGAATCATGTCTGTTTTTAATGCAGTGCTGTCTGAGGGCCCAAAGATCACAGCCAGCAAATACTGGTTTTTGGCCTTGTCCCTTACACACAGAGATTTCTCCAGATTCTCTGAATCTTTTAATGATATTTTGTACCGTAGATGATGAAAAGCAGAAGTTCTTTGCTATTTTACGTTGTGAAACGTTATTCTTGAACTGTTGCACAATTTGATTGTTCAGTCTTTCACAGAGTGGTGAACCCCTCCTCATCTTTACTTCTGAAAGACTCCGCCTCTCTAGTAACTTTGTTATCACATTATGAATGTGTACCTGAGACACTGTTTTATGATAGTTCAGATAAGCTTTCGCCTAAAAGAGGTAGTACATGTAGGGTGTGGTAAAAAACAGGTAAAATGATCTCCAAAGAAAACTTATTTTCTCAAATTTACAGTTATTTTAGCATCATTAACATTACATACAAAGACTCAGAAGATGTGTGTAAGTTCACTGGCTGTTTTGGACAGTAAATAAAATGGCTCTGTTTACACTGCAGACATTGTGAGCCCTGCTTCCAATCACTACCACTGTAAAGAAATCTGAGCCAATACGTTTCAGGACAATGCACCGTTTCACATCCAATCACTATCCAAAATCATGCTGGACAGTAATTAAAATGGTTGTGGAAAATCTGTGGAACTGGTAAAATGGTGTATCAGCTGTGCTTTAAACAACAAATCAATATGAAGGAAATATGACAATAATCACACTGACCCATGGTAACATTTACGTAAGGGATCTGCAGCCGGTCAGCCAGTTTCTCCTGAACCCTGTTCATCTCTGGGCCGCTGTTGAAGCGGGTGACCTCCTCCACGGCCTTTTTGTTCTTCTCCACCGTCTCCACCAGGCGAGCGCATGTGTCAAAAAAGCGCATTAGGGCATCGTTCACCGTGAACTCCAAATCCTCACCTGGGAAACATCAAAGAAATATACAGTGGTGGACGAAGTACACAAATCATGTACTGGAGTTAAAGTAGAGAGACCCAAGGTAAAATATTACTGCAGTAAAAGTAGAAGTTCCTCCCTTTAGACCTCCACTTGAGTAAAAGTACAGAAGTATTTGCCTTCAAATGTACTTAAGTATCGCAAGTAAAAGTACTAAATGATTAATTATGGCTCTGATGTCCTATTATCATTTTTGTAACAAGACTCGCTTCATTAACTCATTTTAGGTGAAAATACTCCAGTGTCTCTCTTGGTAAACCAGTCTTTTAATAGAGTCATTAATTAGTGACGCTGATGTCTATTAAAATGATCATAAGCACAAAACACTGAAGGCAAACAGTTTCTATCAGGTAGAACTGAGTGGCTCTGAAATCACTTTTTACAAACAAGCAAAGTTTCAGTTTAAGATTTATTTGCGACTTAATTACAAGTTTAAGTTTAATAAAAACTTTAAACTCAGGTTCACAAATGAGTTTCCTTTACTAAACTGCATCTGTAGGTCTCTGTTCATAAACATAAACCAGCCAAAACTAATTTACTATAAAATGAAATGTGTTTGTATAAATTCAGAAAAAAGACACGTCAGTCACAACTGCATATGTGTACATATTTCTATATTGTGGTCTATTTACACAAAGTTAGGTTAGTTCATCATTTATGTTGAATAGACTCTCCCAAAATTTTACGCTGCTGCACTGATGTTGAACCGTGTGCTGCACTGGGTCGGTATGTCCAACAGGTCAAAACAAGCTCAAAACAAAGTGACCGCTGTGCCTGATTGGTGTTCTTGCTTTGCGCTTCTTTCGTTTTGACATGTTACGTTTTTATACACACATAAACCAAAAGGAACGATTTCTCATAATGTAGTGGAGTAAAAGTAAAAAGTGGCCCAAAAATCAGTAAAGATACACAAAAAACTACTTAAGTACAGTAACGAATTACATTCACTTCATTTTATATATATATACATACATATATATATATATATATATAGAGAGAGAGAGAGAGAGAGAGAGAGAGAGAAGGCTTCCATGATGGTTTTGAAACTGATGCATAAAGGCCATGTTTAGTGCACACAAACAGAAACGGGTACAGAGTTCACACAAAGGCAGAAATGTAAACACTTCTGCGTAAGAAACATCCTGTTATCATCTAATAACACCAGTACTCCACTAGTTACTGAGTGAACACTATATGGTGGAGCTGCATTACATGGAGAAAATACCATTCCTGTTACGTACTGCATATTCAGCCTAGCGGTGTGTTTAAACCATACTGGTCAATTTAACATGGTTACAGCATAAATTTGATCAAAATTTCTTCCGTTCATTGATGAGGGAATGCCGATCCATCTAAATATCCACAGAAACTTACTTGGGATGTGCGACAACTGGATGAACAGTTAAGCAATAAATCGTGAGAGGGAGTGTGTTATCGTGAAATAACATCACGGCTGTGATTTGGTCGCCGTAGATCATCACAGCCGTGATGTTATTGGCGATAACACACTCCTCGAGTGTTCTACTGCTTTTATACAACAGTTAAATAAATAAAGTAATAAATGAATAAACTGGGCCGTGAACGCGGCGTTTAATGTTTTAATGTTCGCAGTTCCTTCACCAAATTATAGTTCCTTAACGAGCAGCTTGTTGCTACGTCAGAGTAACGAGCTCCGCCCACTCGCTGCACAGCCGGCAGTTCGTTCTCCAGCTCCCTACACTAAATTCCCAAACTGTCATCACCACTGAGCAGCTTTTCAGTCGGCAGCTGTGACAGAAGAACAGCTAATCAACCTGGAATCAGCCAGAAATGAACCCAATACCATTCGCCAAACGTGTAGTCTGATCTTCAGAGTCTGACCAAATCAGACTGAGCCATAAAACTGACACAATATCAAGTTCAGCTCAGTTTTGTCAATTTTTGACAGATCAGTATTAATGTTGTTTTGTTCCAGCCAGTCTGTAAAGCATCTTACAGCCCATTTAGTTTGGTTCTATATAGAACCATATAAAACACACTCTCCATCAGTCTGAAGAACTCGTTCATGATGCAAAGAACTCTTTAATCGTGCATACGGTTCACTGAGCGTTCATGACTTTATATAGAGCCATTTTCTTTACTAAAGAACTCTTGAAGAACCAGAAGTGTGTGACAGTAGCAGAACACTTTTTCATTTTTAAAAAGGTTCAACACAGAACCATTTACAACACATTCTCCATCAATCTGAAGAACCATTTCACCATACAAACAACAATTTAAGCATGCAAATGGTTCTGTATAGAACTTCTGGCTCTAAATAGTACCATTCCATTTATTAAAGAACCTATGTAGAACCAATCTTTATTAAGAGTGCAAAAATGGTTATTCAAGGTTTTTTAGTAAAGATAATGGTTCTATACGGCACCTGAAACGTCAAAGAACCATTTGCATGCTCTTCACATTCTTCAGACTGATGGAGAATGTGTTTTATATGGTTCTTTATAGCACCAAAAAGAGTTCTTCTATTGTTACGAGCTTGGCATAGTGCACCCTTAAAAATTATGGTTCTTTAGTAAAGAAAATAGTTCTATATAGAATCATGAACACTAAAAGAACCCTTGCATGTTCAATGAGCTCTCTGTATCATTAAATGGTTCTCCAGATTGATGGAGAATGTGCTGTAGATGGTTCTATACAGAACCTTTATGAAAAGGGTTCTATATAGCACCAAATGGGTTTCTCTACTGTTACAATTTCAAGCCTGTAACAACAGAAAAACCCTCTTTGGTGCTGTACAGAACCCTTTTCATAAAGGTTCTATATAGAACCATATAAAACACACTCTCCATCAGTCTGAAGAACTCGATCATGATGCAAAGAACCCTTTAATCATGCAAACGGTTCTTTGAGCGTTCATGGTTCTATATACAACCATTTTCCTCACTAAAGAACCCTTGAAGAACCATCTTTTCAAAAAGGTTCAATATAGAACCGTATACAACACATTCTCCATCAACCTGAAGAGCCACTTGACCATGCAAAGAACGATTTACGCATGCAAATGGTTTCTTGAGAGCTCATAGCTCTACATAGAACCGCTCTTCTTTGCTAAAGAACCCTCGAACAACCCTTTTAAGAGTGTAGCCACTCCTGGGATACATTACCTTCAATACCGAATTCCTCCTTCAGTCCTTGTTGGAAGGCGAGGGTGCTGTTCACACACCTGTGTTTGGAACTTGTGATGAACTTGACCCGTCTGCCCTGAAGGTTCTCCTTGGTCAGGAGAGAGGGGAACGTCTTGACCAGTCTTCGGGCCAGATGCCTGTGGTCTGCTCTGCCTTTGGCCACAAGGCGCCCATCCATGTCCTCCTTGTACCACATCTTCCATGCCTTGAGTTCTGGCAGGAAACTCGAGTCACCGTTCGCCTCGGTCTTGACAAGGTTGTCGAATGCGCCGATCTTCCTGATGTTTCCAGAGGTTGGGAATCTGGTGCCGTGTCTGATGATGGCCGTGAAGTGGACGGCGGTGCAGGTTGGAGCGGGCGGCTTCACCGCGGAGCTGTTTATGGCCAGAATATCGTCCAGCAGATACGGGTTGACCTCTTCGTAGCGGCCTTTGGTGTTGAAGTATCTGGCGATGGCGGGGATGCCCGGCTCTCTGGGAGTTGCAGTGACGTAGCAGGAAGAGAGATAAACGATGAAAACGGTTGGGAGAAGTTTCTCGACCATTTTGCTGCTTTCCGAGCGTCCCAGCGGCCTGTTCGCTCAGGAGAACCGCAGTCATGTGAAGTTTGTTTGTTTATCTGTGCCCTTCGGTCCGGACTCGGCCAGACGACCGGTCAATGTCGGCATTGTTTAAACATGCCCCGTGCTGAGGCGCCGAAGCTTGTCGAACTGTGCCGAGTGTTGCTTCGGGCCTGGAATGACCACGTGACTCGTTGTCAGCGGCACTTTGTTGCTTCAGTCGGACAGTGAATCGTCTGTTCGATTCTAGCACTCATGGAGTCGACTCCGATTCATCGTGACGGGAATCAACGGAGTCGATTCCAAGAGTCGAAAACTGGAGCTTTTAAACACCTCAGTGTCACTGCTGGACTGAGAATAGTCCACCAACCAAACATGTCCAGCTAACTGCGTCCTGTGACCACTGATGAAGGACTGGAGGATGACCAACACAAACTGTGCAGCAGCAGATGAGCTATCGTCTCTGACTTTACATCTACAAGGAAGGTAGGAGTGTCTAATAGAGTGGACAGTGAGTGGACAGTGTTTAAAAACTCCAGCAGCACTGCTGTGTCTGATCCACATCTCAGATAATATCTGTTCTGTGGTGGTCCTATGAGGGTCCTGCAACACAGGGTAAAAAGCTTTCTGAAAAAGGACCATTAGAAACCACTGGAATGGGAATTGGCCCAATCGTTTCCATTAAAGACCACTCGTTTTCTGCAGGACATATTTAGATCCCATTAGGAAACCATCAAATGCATTTAGAATCAGTCAGTGGTCACCTGCTAGACCATTCGGATCCTTTACATTGTGATATCAACCTATTAAAAAAAGCCAAAACACATTACTGAACCATCAGGAACCAACAGAAACAGTTAATGGTTTCTATGAGTCTTTTCAGCAGGGAAAGTATGCAGAGAAACAGATGGACTACAGTCTGTAACTGTAGAACTACAAAGTGCACCTATATAGTAAGTGGAGCTGATAAAATGGACAATGAGTGCAGAAACAAGGACTTAATGAAGTGGCTGGTCAGTGTACAGTGATATGAACAGGCCTGTCACGATTATGACATTTTAGCTTACAATTAATTGCCATTAACTATTCAGCTCTCTGTTTCTGTTAATTATATGCACCTTCCTCCCTAGCCGTTACTCAACAGAGCTAAACAATGACTTCCCACTTCCCAGAAGTAAATATTCCGTATCCAATCTCCATAGACATTTAGGAAAATCCTTATATATGAAGAGTTTTAAGCAACCAGCCGAAACAACCAGCTACGAGAGCAAACGTGACGTTGCAAAAACTGATTCAGAGGAAAAAAGGACAAAAAGGTGCGAGACTGTTTTCTTAACAAGGGAGTGGACTACGTATCCCACAAAACACTGCGAATGATGTCATCCAATCGCTTTCCCTCCACTTTTTCACAGTTTTCAGGACTGTTAATAATAGCCCTGTTTTTGCTCCACCCTGAAGAATAAAACAGTGATAGACAGTTTTCATGTTCTGCCCATGCAGATACCTGAGCATTTATGAGGTATATAAAATGTAGAATTTGGGACAAACGTTTAATTTATATCGCTTTAAAATTTCAATTACAGACATACAACAAAAATCAACAGCAGATAAAACGCACAAACATTCACTGCTACAGAGCTTAGCGTGTTAGTCCAGAGGAGATTTTAACTCACCACTACAGAAGTTAGAGAGAAAGTTTCTCAGGCCAGAGGAGATTTTAACTCACCGCTACAGAAGTTAGAGAGAAAGTTTCTCAGGCCGGAGGAGATTTTAACTCACCACTACAGAAGTTAATAGACTTAAAGAAAGTTTCTCAGGCCAGAGGAGATTTTAACTCACCACTACAGAAGTTAGAGAGAAAGTTTCTCAGGCCAGAGGAGATTTTAACTCACCGCTACAGAAGTTAGAGAGAAAGTTTCTCAGGCCAGAGGAGATTTTAACTCACCACTACAGAAGTTAGAGAGAAAGTTTCTCAGGCCAGAGGAGATTTTAACTCACCACTACAGAAGTTAGAGAGAAAGTTTCTCAGGCCAGAGGAGATTTTAACTCACCGCTACAGAAGTTAGAGAGAAAGTTTCTCAGGCCAGAGGAGATTTTAACTCACCACTACAGAAGTTAGAGAGAAAGTTTCTCAGGCCAGAGGAGATTTTAACTCACCGCTACAGAAGTTAATAGACTAAAAGAAAGTTTCTCAGGCCAGAGGAGATTTTAACTCACCACTACAGAAGTTAGAGAGAAAGTTTCTCAGGCCAGAGGAGATTTTAACTCACCACTACAGAAGTTAGAGAGAAAGTTTCTCAGGCCAGAGGAGATTTTAACTCGCCAAAACTGAAGTTCATCTTACAGAGAAATCTAACATTTATTTCTGTAGGATTACAAGTGCAGATATTGGACCGCAGTAGCCCAGTGTTCCAAACATTCTGCCATGCTGAACTACACCATCAAATATCAGTTTGAAATATCGGTCAACCGACGATTCTGAAATCATTGTGCTGTAAGTTGTATCGTTCCACTGTATCAGCAGCAGCGCTCTTCACTGTATCATGTCATATGCAATGTGCTAATAGGACACTAGAGGGAAGTGTTTACTCAGCGCCGGCTGTCTGCTCTCAGTTCTCAGTTCTCAGTTATGTTTCTCATTGATCTGCTATTATTTTTGACTGTAATTCAGATATTTCTTTCAGGATGTTTAACACAGGTATAATCGAAGCTCGAAGTTGTTGCTCACTTCAGTGCAGTATTTCTGAACTCTGTCCTGAAGCCCCTCTGCCCCTCAGATTTTAATGTTTTTGCTGCACGGCTACTGAATTACGCAGGGCGGTGATCAGAAGTGGAAAGAAATGAAGTCTGATTTTTATTGAGTTTATTACTTACATTGTATTTACATTAGCTATTTTAATCGTTATTTTAATAACCATACAAAGTGAATAACAACTCAATATTACGCAGTTCGGCTTCCAAACTGAGAATGCAATTAGCTGGCTGGTATTAGTTAAACTGTTATTGGGTTCTTTTACTGTGTTTTATTAAGTTTGGCTGCTCCTTATCAAACCTTCTTGCTTATACATTCTATTGTGGGGGCCTGTTAGATAGTTACCTTAGCTAATGTAAGCTACTGTCAAGATAAGCTAATTAGAGTTCGAGCAAACACAGATATGCTTGTTAATAGTTCTGACATTGAACTGTGAGTGCTGTCTTTCATACGGTCTTATCCTTCAGTTTTGGGATTGAAATAAATTGAAAGAAAAGAGAAAGTATTGCTTAGAGACAGTTGCTAAGTTAAAAAAGTGAGTTATCACATCAGTTGAGTACTCTTTCCACCCTTGGCGGTGGTACCCCAGGACCCCAGGACTGAAAACCTTTGGTCTAGATCAGGGGTGTCAAACTCAACCACTAAAAGAGCCATATTAATAAATCTCAACGAATCTGTGGGCCAGAGAAAAATATGTTTTTATTTCATTTTTAATTAACACTGTGCTGTAACCCAAACTGACCATTATTTATTCAAAATACACCAAATTGTCAACAACAAAATACAGGCACTTGTAGTAGACCTTGAAATGTTACATGAATATTTGAAATATGCAAAATTTTAATGTCCCCAGGATGTAGGTGTTTTAAACCTACCTGTGTGCTTGAACTAAACGGCTGGCATCTTTTCTTTGCTGCAAGTTTTCTTGGACTCAATTTCTGAGCTGCTGAGCTGCTGAGTTGACGTTAAGGGTTTATGTTGGGGGAACTGTTGCTGAAATGCAGCTGGGTCATTCTACAGAAACGTCCACCATAGGAGTCACTGGTGTTACCGATCCTCATTGGTGTAACACATAATAAAGGGAACACCAGAGACATTTTTAATGAAAAATGCCTATTACAAACTGGCTGCCACAGGGCATCAAACCACATGTCATCCACTAAAATATGTAATTTAATCCATTTGTATTCTATTTTTTCACTATTACCTCAGAATAAAGTCGGTCACACCAGTGACTTCAGCTAAAAGCTTCGTATGAAATCGTGAGCTAAATGAGAAAATCTCTGATAACTGAAAGACACAGTGGACTCACCATGTGCTTTTCTTCATAGATCCTCAGAAAACAGGTAAAAGGAAGTCGAGTGATGTCATCAGTGTGACTTTTATTTTAAAATAAGAGATTTTTTGTTACGCAGTAACACCAGTGACTCGACTCCTGGGGCAACAACTTTCATTATATATTTTATAATATTTATTTGGTGTTTGTTTTCTTTATGTCATTTAATTTATATATTCCATAGTCATGTATAGATTATTGTAGTTAAAATAGCAGAAAAATGTGTTTTTTTCTTTAAAATATAGCCTCAGCCTTTACGCATGACTGTGGGGACGAGCTCTTCTGTGGTGCCTGGAATTCTATATGATTGATTTAAAAACCAATATTGCTGAATTGAGGCTCAAGAAGGTGTAATTGTTAAAATAACTTATTGTTTTATTTTATAATATAAATAAATTGTAACCCTAACATGTTTTAAGTGTAATATATTTGCAAACCCTAAGGACACAAAGATGGACGTTTCTGTAGAACGACCCAACTAGTGTGTTTGGTAATATGACTGGTGTGCAAATGTGTAGAATTGTGGTGTAACTGACGTCCCATAGGTTGTTGTTGGGGGAGGAGAGTCAGAGCACACAGGCTAATATTAATTGAAAATGAAAATACTCATGTTTGACATGTGGGGTATAGAGAACCATAGTAAAAAAGACCTGTATTAAAACTCACTGGTGTTTGATTGTCCTTAATATATGAAGGAAGGATTCATTCTGTGTTCATATGAGTTTACCGTCTTTGTAGCTTTCATATCTTAAGCGCATGGAACCGAAAATAAACGCTGAAGCGCTTTGTTACTTCAGCCTATTTCAGTGTTACTCGCTGCAGTCTACAGCCAGGAAACAGGATCAGAAAAAGGTAGCAAATAATATTTAAACATATTGTTTTATTCATTTTTTTTACTGTCTAAGTAAAATTTGCAGCATTTTCCTTACAACTTAAGTATCCCGGTGATTAGTTGAATTTTGGAAACTATGAAACTATAACAGTACATGGTTTTCCAAAGGCATTTTTAGCTGAATTCCCAAGTGACTCTGCTATAATGATGGAAAACACCTCGTTCTTAATGTAAAGTGCATT